ACGTCTTGGAAGCAGACATTTACAAGGGTACATGACGACAAAAAAAATTAAGTGATGTTTTGTACAGGTTGCTTTCAGTTTGGCAGGTAACATTTTTTAAATACTTAAATTCTAGATTTATAAACATTTTGACATGTTTTTTTTTTTGTTTGTTTAATTTGTGGCTAAGAAATAACTATGAACTTTTTTTTGGTGGGGCCAGTGAAAAAAATGGCAGGGCAAGTAAAAATCTGAACCACTGCACAGCATTGAACCCTGGGTGGGCATTGTTTTGTTTAGATGTCACAATAAAATAACTGAAAATCCACTTGGAGAATAATACATATTAACAACTCTGAGTCAACTCTTTCTTTTTGAGAGTCGCATGCGATGTTTCCATCCAAAAAGTGAATTAACTGGAGTATCGCATAAAAGATGTGCGAATAATGCAGCGTTTCTGTCACCGACTCGGTCCCAGCCATTCCCCTCGCTGGCCAGCAGAGGTCATCATCACCGGATTATTGACATTACGTCATCCTCATCCCATTCAGACACTGATTGCTATACACCTGAGACACATTACCTGATCACACTCACACACATATAAGTTGCCCTCACACACACTCCAGTGTGAAGTCTTGTTCTGCCCTGCTGACATTACTTATCCTTGCCTGATCTCCTGTTGCTAACCTGGACTGTTTCCCGACCTTGTCTTGCCTGCTGCCTGTCTAGAACCTTGCTTTGTATCACCGACTTTGATCCTTACCGCCTGCCTCTGACACATATGATTGCCAGCCGCCAGCCTATCTGCCTTATAAGCTTGTATTTCATGTGAGTTCACACACCAGTATCTATTGTGTGTTTGTTATTAAACTGTTTAATAAACGTACTGCAAATGGATCCCTCTGTGTCAGACCCTTCGTTACAGTTTCCATCCAATGAGTCAAAGTAAACAAAAATGGTCACTTCCTGATTAACTGGTGCCAAATATAAACAGTAAAAACGGAATTTTCTGCGATAAGAGAATCTGCGTGAGTCTTTTCATTTGTGGTTTTTCACGGTGGTGTTTGAAGGCCTAAGACGCGGAGCACAGATGCTCTTGATTCTGGAGCTAATTAATAGTATAATAACACTACTGGCATTTTAGAACGACCAAAACAACATTTCAGATTGTTTACAATGTGCTCAGCCTGCTGGTTTGTCCATTCGCACACATTTTCATCATCACATGATCTCTTATAACAAAACACATGGAATTTGGTCGGTAAAGTGTTTCCATTGTAGTGTGTCCATTTTTTTTTCTTTTATCCTATACTATTACATCTACTGTTTATTTTATGCGCATATCTAAAATGCGCATAAAAATGGGTAATTGGAAACAAAGCTAATAACATTAAACATAAAAGCACACTTTTAAAGCCAGGGCACACCAAGCCATTTCCAATCAACTATCACCAATGAAACCTAACTGTGTTGCATTGGATTGCGTCTGGACCATAAAGCTGCACATAAACACACCAAATGGACAAAAGCCAAGTCTTGTCTGCGCAAGAGGATGTGTCTTTCCGCTCCGCATGAGGCAGTAGTTGGTTTCTCATTCCGCAAATGAAAGCAGAACTTCCAATGTTCACAGACAAAACAGCATTTAGGACCATTATCATAGTAACTGTTACTCATCACGGAGGGATTTGCTCGTGCAAATCTGTATGATAATCTAATATTCCATATTCCATTTGTGATTCATTCTGGCTTGAATTGTTTACTTGCTTTGTCATTTCACTATGTCACACTTATGACATCAGATCCTGGCTAATATAATGATCCTTCTTCTAGAATTCTCTCTAGCTAAGGCTTTTTAAACCAACTGGAATGCAGGACAACCATACAATAACTAAATGCAGTAATCTAGTCTAGAGGTCATAATTAGATGCATGCATGACACGTTTACAGCATATGCCATACAGATTACCATCAATTAAACACAGCCAGGTTCATGACTGACAACAAGGACTTAACAGAATGTCAGTTGAGATTAAGGAGGTATTCTAAATTTGCAAAAAGCTTAATGAAATTAGTTCATAAAACACATGCACTACATTCCACATCTTCTAAAGCCTTACTTTGTTTTTAATTGTACATGTATAATTTTATTTTAGTATATTACATCATTAGACGGGTGTTGGGTGTTTCAGGTTCAAAGGTGCACAAACATTGGCTTGGCCTCTCTCTGGGTTAATATTTAGCTTTCCAGGGATCAATCTGTATGATTCAGGATCTGATTGTGTACGATTGGATTTTTTTAATATCTACCTCATTCATATTAAGCAATTTCAGTTGTTGAGATTCTTATAAACCGTAGGGGCTTTCAAAATAATATCTTCTTTACAAGAATATGTTTGTATTTAATGTTTGTATTAATCTGATCAATTTTAGTATTTCTTGAATTGACAAATCTGAAATGGCTGTCACATGAATAAGGATATTTTTAGGGGCTGGACAACATTCAGTTGATGTTTTGGTATAAGGTATAAGGAGTTTCTCACCCTAAAGCTGTTTTGGGCAAGTGTGTACAAGTTTTGACCAAAGAAATAATTGTATGTTTGACTTGAGAACAGCATTGGATGACTGTGCTTTTTTCCCCAAGTATTGTTTTTTTTCTAGATTGAATATAAAATCAGTTTGAAATTGATTGTTTTTCTCTGTTTTATTGTATTTTATGCAACAAGTGGTTATTTTCTTGTGTTTTAAGATCTAGAAGATAAAAATTGTAACAGCAATAGGACTTTAAACACTCTTGTTGATGTTACTTGCAGTGACTCTCAATTCTCAAACAATTTTAAATAACTGGAAATGTTGTGTAAAAATATGCAACTCAGTTGTAACAAATTTTTTTTACTGTAAACTGTATAAAACTGTATAAAAGCAATATGAAATATCTGAAATACAGTGTTGTTCTGAATGTCCAAATGTATTTGTAAATGTAATATGACATGATAACTGAATACTATAAAAACAAAATATTGTTACCACAATTTACATTTTTTTAAAGATTTCTATTCATTTGCTTTACATTTGGTCAGTCACATGAGTAATTTACATTTTTAAATGTCATTGTCAGTACTAAAGAACTTTGAACTTTCAGTTGTGAAATTTAAACCACACTAAACTAAACTGAACTTCAACTCTGAAATCTGGACTTTAATAAACTATGTTAAGCTGTTTTGACACAATCTACATTGTGAAAAGCGCTATATAAATAAATAAATAAACATGAATTGAATTTAATTGAACTAAGCTTTGTAAGTTTTAGTGTTTGTGTAAATGTAAATGTTAAAACCATGCTTTACGTAAAAATGCATGAACACTCATGAGATCACGTTGAGCTGGTAGGGATATTACTATTACTTCTCAAATTTGCTTCACAGTCTAGCAGATATTTCCTATTGAGGTTGTCAGGTTTAGACATGTTTTGTTTACAGAACAGATCTTTCCTGCTGCAAGGCCTGTGGACTATTCATTCAATTCATTCATTCAATACAGTAGAATCTTCAAATATTTTGTTAATACAACCTCTCATAGAGGCAGCTGTGACTTTTTTAAAAGTATTGTAGGTCAGTTGATATAAACATTGGATATATTGATATCTTAATTACAATATACACCAAATTTTAGGGTAAAATTCAGCATGAAAAGCTAAATTTAATGGATTTCAAACATAACAGAGCATTAACCTTCTATTTCCATTCTTTGGACATGTGATTAGATTAGATTACAAAGTGTAAAGAACAAACAAAAAGAGAGTTTTTAGTTTAATAACATTTTAACAAAGAAATGTCTTGGATACAAAATTGTTTATTTAAAAATTATATTTGGAAATTGAAATATTAGATTTGAAGCACAGTGCTGAGCTGTCTCTGACAACTCGATTGTGGCGTGACAGGAATTTAAACAGTATCCTGAAGCCAGTTGCAAAATGGATCCTACGTGGAGTGCTGTGCCACATCTTTACAATTCTTAAGTTTGTCGATCTTTGTCCATATAAAGTGAATTCAGCAGCATATGTGCATATGCCTATCAATGCTTATTTTTTCTGTTTTTAGATATCTAATTTAAATACAAAATAAAATCTAAACTTTTGAGAATTGATTTAGAATAGGTAAATAGAGATTTTTGATGCATCGATAAATTTAATTCATTCCCCCACTCCTATTTAAAATATAAAATATGTAATAAAATTTTGGATTTATTTTAATTGTTACAATCATGTTTGTAGAGGAAATTAAACACATTTAACACCAATGCCTGGGTATTTCGCTTTGAATCTACTGTGAAATGTGTTACCTACAGCAATCATTTTGGAAAACAAATCACCCTCAAAAATGACACTGGGCTGTTCAATAAGTCTGTTTAATTATTATAATAGTTAAACAATTAGACTGCTTGTGGATGTGTTACGTTGTACTTGGGTATATCTGGAATAACTTCTTTTCATTATTACAGAAATGTATCTAGAGTATGGCTGGGTGATTTGGCTTAAAATCAATTTCCCGATTAACTGGACATTTTTACTCTCACTTTACATTACAAATAATGAACGATTATTTTATTGATTTATTTTTGCTGACCATTTTTGTACAGTAAATATGACTTTTTTTTTTTTTTTTTGGTACAAGCAGCTCTTGTTGCTCTGTTGTCTCAGTGTTTAAGTTGTCCATGCTCCACATGTTGGTGGAATAACATAACAGAGCAGGGTCATGTGACTTCACATGCAGTAGGGAAAATAATGGAAAAAATTGACTTGGAAAAATGTAATCGATTGCAGGTTCCGAATGTCGATTTCGATTACTTTTTGGTTAAACGCCCAGCCCTAATCTACAGTCATGCATATCCAATTAATCTGCGTCCTGACATTTTGTAATTGACTAAATTGTTGCTCCTACCAAATGCATACACTTGATTTAAGTACTGTAAATGTAAATTTTTCGTAATTTTTATTAATTTCCATTCTTTGTGTATCTTAGGTTTAGGTGATGGGGACTTTTGTTTGACGCCATTTTGTGTATGCATGTCGACTCTGCAGATCAAACCCTGGTAAGAAAACACTGCCTTTTTTTGGTTACAGTATGTTTGATTAAATTGTTGCCACTTTGATGTAGTTTTTGGTGTGCTCAGGATATATCTGAAGTTTTATGGAGCTAATAATATGCCAAAACAATCTAAATTTAAATTGTGTTAATTTGGATTATTGATAATTACAATACAATAAATCAGAATTTTTATAAGCTGTTGAAATGTTTTGAATTTGAATTTCTTAATTTGAATTTCATAACTTGAGAACATTAAATAACTGCATAAATATCCTGACTGCTTGATAACACAGTTGCAAAGTTATATTTAATCAATAAAATGTTTAAAGGCCACCATCAAAATTAAGTGCTTTTGGAAATGCCAATGAATGTATGAACTGGCACTATTAAAATTTTTGTTTTAATAACATGAATAATGTTTTGAGTAAGTTATATATTCAAGTTCTTTGGAGAGTTCTATCTCTAGGTCTTTCAAGTGGTTATGCTGATTTAAAAAAAAACCTGACCCATCACAGAGGGTTTGATTGACTGGCAGTCTGACCCCTTATAATCCCAATACTATGTACACCCCGTTGCTATGCATTGTTTTGAATGTCATACAAACCATGTTGTAGAATTTGTAGATTCACATTGAGAACTTCAAAATGTAGACAGAGGACAGACTGGAGAATTGGGGTGGGTTAATTGACCCTTTACAAACCCCTCCCCCGCTTCTCATTGTCTGACAAGCTTCTATAGTATTAGCCATGACACTCCCATATCAATTTGTGCACTGCCAAGAGACATAGTGAATAATTTCTGGAAAATTTACATACTGATTTCAGACAAAAGCAGACATGAGGTATATATTTAGGATGTGAGTGTAACGAAATGAAAATAAAAATAAAGCTTGAAGCTATAGTCTGCAAGTTTAGTAACGGGAAGTTCTGATCATTTTAACATAATTAAAATGTAACATATTGCCTCCCTAACAAACTTCACAAATCTATGAGGTTTGAGAGGCCATAAGGATGAATACATTGTTTATCTGGGTCTCCAGGCTATGCAGTTTAAGGGTGCTTTCACACATGTGGATCAATTCTTTTGTTCTGAAACGGGGATTAAAATTGTTAGAATGTTGCATTTTGTTCTTGGTGCGGTTCGCTTTCACACGACAAAGTCTCTAAACAGACTAAAATAGCTAAAACAAGTCATGTGCGAGTTTCGAGTCCATCTCAGCTGTCATGCGTCCTTTTAATTTATAAGGATGAGCAATAAGACATTATTAGTGAAAAGCTGTGCTTTCATTTTTAATGGTGACACCTACAGACATCATCACCAGATATAAATCAGAGGTAAGACTTTCTCATTCACAGCCGTTGGCTAGTATTATGCATTATATGATTTCCATTATAGAAAGAAATAACAGTTAAACCAAGACTGTTGTTGGATTAATTTTGCTAACGGATAAACAGCTTAATAGTTAGCATGCTTTCACTTTCGTATTGGACATGAAACGCACATTTACCTGTAGGAATGACTTCCAGCCCTACTCAAAATTCTCTCTTCATATAGCTGTATATATGCCTATTACATATCCATAATACACTGTTATATAGCCTGGTTCAGATCGTTTTACTTTCTCACTACAATTGATCCGAGAAGAGACCATCTCATTCAAACTCACACTATGCTATCCGAACCATGCCCAGGCCCGTTTTCCAGATTGTTTGAGAAGTGTGAGCGCTCTGAATTAGGCTCAGGCACGGTTCACTTGGACTTTGGCGCGGTATGCTTTTGTGTGAGTGCAAAATGAGCCCGAAACTGAAAGCGTGACCACGTGACTTTTAAGGGGCTGTTTGTTATGGATTTAATAATCATTCTTACTGTTCAATGAACTCAAACTGATGCAAACCCCTCACTGCTCCACAGCTGCACCTTCAGCAAACCTCCTAATACCTGCAGCACGAGGATTTTATGATTGTTTATGAGTGTCAAAAGTGGCTTTTGTTTAGCGAAATATTCGACTGCGTGTCACTGCATATCAAATGACTTAAGCGATATAACGGAAGAAATCTCCACTGTGCTGAGCGAAAGCACTTACTGAACAGCGCATTATCGATGACATAAGCGTGCCCAGGCCCAAATGTGAGTATATCAGGTAGTTCGCTGGTTATTTTTTCACATTACAAATCGCATCTCCATCTCAAGTCCTCACATTTTGAATAATTTGTTCAGCATATTTTATTCATTCAGTCAGAAAGGCTCTCAAAAGTATGCTTTGGATAAAAGCGTATGCTAAATGACTAATTGTATGCGTCCATGACCAAAATGTGACTTCCGGTGGACAGTAGCAGACTCCGAAATGAGAAGCAGATTCAGAGTTCCACATGAGGTGGTTATTAATTAGGAAATAATAAAAATATTACGAATGTAAATATTAGGTGAGCAGGTTAGATTGTAACCCTGTATCCTAACAACATGATACGTGAGAAGATTTGCAGTGAAAAGCAATTTAGCTGTTTGCACCATATGCAAAATGACAAAATACAGCCATTCAGAAGCACAGAATAGTGCACTTACTGCACTCCAATGAAATGGTAAGGTTTATAACCCAATAAATATATATTTAACCTCTTTAACATTATGAAATTTTCAGGCGGAATCACTGATATTTGTTGGCTTGTACTGAGTCACAGTCCTAATCTGCTGCTGCTTTTAGTAGTTCATTTAAACTCACATTATTAGCATTTAACACTAAACAAAGCACATGGGGTGTATCAGGTGATCATTGTCAGGTTATCCTGTTGTTCAGCTGCAAGAAATAGAAGCCATTTCTAAAATATATATTCCAGGTATTGGTTGAAACAAAAACTCTTTTTAATATGGAAAATAATCCTTCTATCGCGGGCCATTGCTTTTATTTACAACACGGTTTAAATCAGCCTTAAATCAGCCTTTAGACTCGATAGTCAGGCACATAATCTGGCAACCTGTGCTTTCATGTGTTTTTAAAAAGGGATGCAATAACTAGTTCAACCACTGGGTGTCAAACTTACATACCACACCTTTATATATATAATAATAATAATAATAATAATAATAATAATGGAAGATTCATTAGCAAAATGAAATTTCCACTTGTTTAATCGATTTTTTCCCCTCTCTTTTATTTTTTGTCCTTCTTTGTTGTCAGAATAGTTGACATGCCACCTGGGATGGTGTGTGTGACTTCTCTTTTCACCATACTGTGTTGCTGCGCGGTCACCCAGAGTTCAGCTTCTTCCAGACAACATCCCACTTTTTTACGCAATGACACCTACTTTGAGCACCTGGCTCTGCATCCTGACCCTTCAGTGGGTCGAGTGTATTTAGGTGGCCGTGATCGACTTTACCAGCTTTCTTCAGATCTTCAGCTTGAGGCAGAGGAAGAGACGGGGCCTGTGATAGACAGTCGTGAATGCCTTCCCCCCATCAGTGAAGCAAACTGCCCACAAGCACAGCTGACCAATAACCACAACAAGCTACTACTTGTGGATCCTTACAGTCAGCAACTCATCAGCTGTGGAAGTGTTCATCAAGGAATATGTCAGAAACGAAGTTTGGATGCAGTAGGGAAAGTGATTTTCACTGCAGAAAGGCCTGTGGATACACAATATGTGGCTGCTAATGACCCCAGCGTGTCTACAGTAGGACTTGTGGCACTCACAAGAGGACGTGGGGTACAGCAGCCAATGTTATTCGTTGGACGTGGTTACACCAACAGTCAACCTCCAATATCTACTCGAAACTTAGTTACAGAACCCGTTTTCTCGTATGAAGAAACTTCAAAGTTAGCAGTAGCTGGAAGGCTTTCGGAGTACGACCATCATTTCGTGACCTCATTTACACATCGTTCTTATGTCTACTTTATGTTCTATCGAAGGGACTTAAAGTCACAATCGAGGGAATATCGCACATATGTTTCCCGTATGTGTTTGGATGACACTGCGTATTATTCTTATGTTGAAGTTCCATTAAGTTGCCGTTCATCCAGAGGAAAGAATTATAACCTCCTGCAAGCTCTACATGTTGGCCTGCCAAAGTTTGGCAAAGTTTGGGGAAGGGAAAATGCAGCTACTTCAGAACAAGAGGTCCTGTTGGGAGTGTTTTCAAGTCATTTCGCTTCCTCAAGCCGGCCCAACGAAGAGTCTGCAGTATGCGTGTTTTCACTCGAAGAAGTGGATAAACGTATCAATTCCACAAGAGATCTGTGCTACACTGAAATGGGTCGTGCAGATGGACAGGAGGCTGCATACATTGAGTATGAAGTCAAATCAAACTGTGCCAATCTTCCAGCGGTAAGTTTGAAAACTAGTAAGTTTACTGCTTCACTGTGAACAGCTTCCAAGTACCACTATTATATCAAATAATTTCTAGAGCTCTATATTTAATGACAGATAAACCTGTAACCTTAGTTTGACAAGTCTAACATTGACAATGTAAAGAACATTTATTTTAGTTGGAAAAAAATGGCATATATTTATTTTATCTTTGATGGATCTAGATTTCACAGCCTATCAAGTATGATTAAAGTTAGATTATGAAGCTCATCTCCAGAAAGAAAAGCACCTCAAAGTCCAAGTGAACAAAAAAATTCAATGCTTTGTTGATAATTGCGAGGCCTTAGAAATGTGCATATCAAAGATGATATGTTCGTCTTTATACATTTATAGTTCTCTTTATCACTTGAGCAATCTTTTATAGTCAGAGACTGTATATCCTCCCTGGTCCAAATTGGACAGAAAAAACAAGCAAAACAGAACAGAAAGTTAATTAACTTAATTATGATGTGTCATTCCTGACCACTTAAGTTCATCTGAAATTAAATTTAAAACATTGACAAGGTCTAAATCAGGGGTGTCCAAACTCGTTTCTGGAGGGCCAGTGTCCTGGAGAGTTTAGCTCCAACCCTAATCAAACACACCTGGACTAGCTAATTAAGCCCTTACTAGATATACTAGAGCCTTACTGGCAGGTGTGTTGAAGCAAGTTTAGCTAAACTATGCAGGACACTGACCCTCCATGCCTGCAGTTGGATACCCCTGGTCTAAATTGTCCAGTAAAAGTCTCCATGAGTTTAAATATATATCATTGTCAACATTTGAAGTAGATCAAAAATGTTTTTCAGAATTGCCCTTAGTTTTGAAACAACTTTGATACAAGGATTTGAAACCCTTCAAATGTTGGTACAGTTGTACAGCAGTAACCTTTGTTCCTCAAACTTGTCACTTAACACTTAATGTCTGTCTTCAGAGGAAGCAAACCTATATTTTAACATGGCACCAGGGGTTAGGGATGATAACGAGCAAGATGATAATTATTATCCACATCCTAGCTATAACAATAATGACACAGAGGGTCAGTGTCTTTTAGGATCTGAATTCACTCTTGTTTTAAAGAGCACAGGCCTGTATAGCAAAAATATCTTTGCATGTGTCATAAATAGAATGATGTTTTCTAGGGCAATTAGCAATTTTATTTACAGATATTCTATTTGATTTGCGGTTTAATTTTGTAGTCAAGCTTCAGCTCAATATTCTGTATAATTGCTTCCTACTGCTAAAATGCCATGAGTGTTGGTCAAAAAAGGAACTGAAAAGATATTAACTTACTTCAACATTTATTCAAATTTGTAGGTAAACATTTAGAAATGAAACACTACTTTTTCTCTAGAGCAAACAGTAGTGAGTTATGGCTTTAGTTATCACCTGGTGTCTGTGATGCTTTCTTAGGTGCGGGTTGTTATAATCTCTCACGCTGTGGTAACAATTCTACGACAGCTCTTACAAATGACCTGTTTTTGTTCAGTGTCTGTGACTTTAAAACGAACATATTCCCATATTACCAACATGCTGTTTTTCTTTGATATGAATTTGTCTGTTAATAATTCTGAAGCGGCAGGCGCCATCATCCCACTTGTCCGCACTTTACTGTTTATATCACACACTGACACCAGTCACGCATTTGCTCTGAGTGGGGAAAATTATATAATACATATGCATTTCACATCGCAGCCTATTGCGATTGAGCTAATTGCAACGTTTCAAATCGCGATTCAGTTTCAATTAATCACACAGCCCTAATATTTACGCTACTCTGGTTATTATTAAAGTTATTCTCGGCATGAATGAGCTTATCACATAATAGTAACAGCCGAGCTGTGTTTAGTTTTAATATGTTAGACAAGAAAAAAAAAACTCTGATGGCAGAACTATATTTTCAGAAGCCCTAACCCCAGTCTACAGTCTGTATTTGAAGAAAGCATTCTAATAATATGCTGATATGAGATATGAAGGCATAGTTTATACAGAATTGAGGATTTGCTTTTAGTATCTCTTTCAGATCACCCAGGTTGTAGATAGTTTTTTTTCCCTTTAGAAAAACTTCAAAAAAAACATATTAGCGTGAATAAAAGGTAAATTAGAGGCTGCTAGCATTTAGAGAATGCAATAATCGTATACAGACCAAACAAAATTAATTCCCTGGAATCCTGACAATAAATTGAGGTCTTATGAAGTGAAATATTAGATCTTTGCAAGATTCATGAATCAGACTATTAATACTTTTCATCCACAGCCATAGCAATTAGTCTTAGCTTGTGTACAGCAGTTTTAAGCATGAGCTTCAAACTCACAAGTGATGTACTAGCCAACTTGACTTTTCCTGGATTCTGGAGAGTTTGCGCCTCAGTATGCATCATTGTTTTCACAAAAGCATTCAGGACTATTTACAGAAGCTGTGAATTAAAGGTAGTAATTGTAGTGATCTGTCATTTTGCTTCGTAAAACCTCAACATATTCATTTAGTTTTGCCTGCTTATTTTTCCAGCAAATAGCTAGCGATAAATTAGCAAGGAACATGATTTTAGCTAAAATCTAGTATTTTATTAAAGGAAAAACCACCTGTATATTGAATCACCTACATTTAACAGCAGTTATTGATTTGATCTGATTACCAAACATTGAAAAACATCTTTTGTTTAAAATAATTGAAATGTTTTCACATAATATTTGTTTGCTAATGCTTTTTGTCAATTAAGTGCATTCTTGCATTCTTGCTAAATAAAAGGATTTTTAAAAATTTAAGAATGAAATTTTGTTAGTAAGGCTGTTCTGACAATACACATTTTATACACATAAAAGGCATTTAAAACAGGATGTCATGTATTGGACTTTTATTTATTTTTTAACTTTTGTCTCAACAGAACACTTTAGATGCGTATCCATGTGGCTCTGATCACACTCCTAGTCCAATGGCTAGCCGGGTGCTGGTGGAAGCTGAGCCAATATTTGACAGCCCATCTGTCCGTCTCACTGCTGTGGCTGTGAGTGTCAGGGAGGAGCACACTATTGCCTTTTTAGGGGACTCACAAGGAAACCTACACAAGGTATTATTTTTTTTCTCTTTTAAAGTGCTAAGATCTTTTGACTATTTATTTCATGCAGGTCTTCCATTTATTTGCTGCTCTGGCATTTTAAAGCATGTTTAATTCTTCTTCAGTTTTGGTCAGAATGTGTTTTTTTTTCACCCCCAAGGTGTTTCTTGGCCCAAATGGTGAGGTGGAAGAATATGCAGAAATCTCCATCCAGCCCAATGTGCCAATAAGCAGAGAGCTGAGGCTTGACCATCAAGAAAAACATCTGTACATCTTGACAAGTAACATGGTAGGTATCACTTTATTGAAGTGGAATTGGCAGTGCTACCTATTGACAAAGTAGTTATTGTTGGAAAGGAATGATGGAAAGAAACTTGAGCTGAGCAAAAAAAAAAACCTTAAGGACAGAACACACCAAGCAGACGGTCAGCCATTGAGCTTCTTCTGTCTGGCCAGTTGTTTTGGTGTGTTTCACACATCCCCTCTCATTGGGTTAACTTCAGAGCTATAAAATTGGTGTGTCGATCCAGCATGTAAAGTCAGCTGAGGAGAGTGCTCTGATTGGTTATTCAACACCAAATTAGAGTGTGAATGAGAGTGAAGTGATATACACAATGAAGGCAGCTGTAATGTAAACTATATTATATGTTTGGAAGTTCTGGTTTCCTGTTGTGAATAAGAAAACAGATACTGCTCTCCATGGGTGCAAAAAGACCTCACCAAAATGTCCTCCCATGCAGGTGCAGAACACAGTTCTCATTTCAGTCAGTTTTGTCTGTTTGGTGTGTTCATGCACTGCTTTTTGGTCCTGACGGAACCATACGTGAGATATTGTGAGGCAACAGTACAATATGGTTTTGTCTGCACTAGTTGTTTGGTGTCGGCTTGGTGTGTATCAGCCTTTAATTTAATATCAGGGTAGTCCACCGAAATGAAAAAGCATTTTCTCATCACTAACTCACTGTAAAGTTTCTAAGAGGATATTGTAAACCATCTTAGCAACCAAACAATTTTGGTTCCCATTGGGTAAGGAAATAATATAATGGACTGCAATAGGAACTGAAATATTGTTTGGAAAAATGTGGTATATTAAGAGTATTGAAATGTTATAACAGCCTTGTATATGGGAAAAATAACTGACCCTTAAGCGATGCAATTTGGTCATAGTTTTTACAATACAGTCTAGCAAAATTGCATCAAATTATTAATAATATAATAGTATTAAAAATGTGTTTATTTTTCTATTCATATAAATTGCATATTCAAAATAAAGTTCTATGCACTAATGGGATTTTTTGGGGCTGATATGGATTTTAAAAAATTTAATGCTTTCTTGCCCTGAGCTTTGGACTTTGCACCTAGGTTGATAAAATAGAGCCCTACATGTATGTTTAAGCTAGAATAAAAGAATTTTTTTTTTTAATGATAAATTAAAAAAATTACTAGACAAGATTGTACTGAAAGTACTGAGAGGAAACATGTTTTAAAAATGTATCCTCAGGGAAGATGTTTAAGTTTTTTATCATAAATTAAACAATATATATATATATATATATATATATATATATATATATATATATATATATATATATATATATATATATATATATATATATATATATTGTTTTTAATTTAGTTTTTTTGTATTATTAAATTATTAAGTTCTAATAATTATGATTATTATGATTATTATTATTATTATTATTATTATTATTATTATTATTATTATTATGTATATATTTATATCCCATTTATATAAAATGGGATCACATGCAAAAAGAACAAAACAACAACAAAAACATGAAAACACAATGTGTGCATGTGTGCGTGTGCATGTAAATGTAACTAGATGGATAGTCTGAGTACAAACATATAGTGGAAAAAAAAAATTATATATATATATATATATATATATATATATATATATACATAACATGTATAACCATCATTAAATGAAACATAATAATGTATAAAATATTTTTATGTTATTAACTTAAAGGATTTTGCCATGAAATAAACAGAAGTTGCTGATGTGCAACAAGCAAACAAACAAACAAATTCCAATCATCACAAATACTGCAGAAGACCTATTGGAACCCGCATGGCCCATCAGTTAGGTTTGGTGAAGGAAAAATTATGGTTTGGGGTTATATTCAGTATGGGATTCTTGTAAGAGATCAGCAGAGTGGATGACAACATCAACAGCCTGAGGTATAGAGACATTTGTGCTGCCTATTACATTAAAAACCATAGTAGAAGGCAAATTCTTCAGCAGAATGGCGCTCCTTCTTATACTTTAGCTTCCACATCAAAGTACCTCAAGCAAAGAAGGTCAAGATGCCCCAGGATTGGCCAGCCCATATACCAGCGATAGACATTATTGAGCATGTCTGGGGTAAGATGAAGGAGGAGGCATTGAATATGAATCCAAATAATCTTATTGAACGCTGGGAGTCCTGCGTGAACGGTTTCTTTGCCATTTTAGATGACTTTATCAGTACGTTTTTTTTTGAGCAATTGAAACCATATCTAAAGAAATCACATGGATCATTGGGAAAATTAAAGAAAATAAGTTCATATTATAAGACAATAAAAGTGTTTTTGACCTTGCATGTATGTCAGAATATTGTTGGAGAACCCAAAATCAAAATATAACCCTTTATAATTTATAATAGGGACTTTTTTTATTCTGCTTGAGCTATCGAAATGTGCAGAGGAAATGATGTTAATTTTGACTTCCTGGAAACTAAATGTTCATTAAAATATATTAACATTTTTATTTGTATTCCTCTTTTTTATTAATGATAATTAGTAAATTATGTGTATTATTATTATTAATGATTGTTTTCTTACTGTGCTCTCGCAGCTAGAGAAGAGGCCTGTAGCAGAGTGTGAAAAGCAGTTGGATTGTCAGTCCTGTCTGATGGCTCATGATCCATATTGTGGCTGGTGTGTTCTTGAGGGAAAGTAAGTTCAAGTTTGAGAAGAACCACATATCCATAATGCTTTGTTTTGGGAAGTTGGTTTCTTGAACATTGTGTCTTTGTACACCAGGTGTGGCCTGCGTAGCGAGTGTAGTAATGGGAATCAGAAAGATCAGTGGCTGTGGAGCTTTGACATTGAACAACAATGCCTGAGTGTGACGTTTCTCAATCCATCCAACATCAGCCGAGAAGAGAGGAGAAATGTACGCTTTATGATTTAACACATTGTAACTGAGCACTCAAATAACCAAAAACATTTCACTCTGACAGATCGCTTTCATTGTTTTATTTTTACTTTCAGATCTCTTTAGCAATACCGGGTCTTCCCAGACTGGATCAAGGACACAATTATTCATGTGTCTTCCTGGGCAAGCCAAGTTTGGCTATTGTAACAGAGACCGGTGTCATCTGCTCCTCTCCACACATAAATACATTGCCATCTGTGCCACCTGGACAAGGTGAGGGAATTTCTTTATATATATCACATCTTTATATATATATTACATGTACATAAGTATTTACAGCACCTGCCATGAAGCTCTAAATTGAGCTCAAGTACATTCTATTTCCACTGATCATTCTTGAGATGTTTCAGCAGCTTAATTGGAGTTCACCTGTGGTGAATTGAGTTGATTGGACATGATTTGAAAAGGCATACACCAATCTATATAAGGTCCCAGGGTTGACAGTGCATGTTAAAGCACAAACCAAGCATGAAGACAAAGGAATTGTCTGTAGACCTCTGAGACAGGATTGTCTCAAGGCACAAGGCTGGGGAAGGTTACAGAAACATTTCTGCTACTCTGGAAGTTACAGTGAACACAATGGCCTCCATCATCTGTAAGCAGAAGGTGTTTGGAACCACCAGGACTTTTCGTAGAGCTGGCCGGCCATCTAAGCTGAGTGATCGGAGCAGAAGGGCCTTAGTCAGGGAGGTGATCAATAACTCGATGGTCACTCTGCCTGAGCTCCAGCGTTCTTCTGTGGAGAGAGGAGAACTTTACAGAAAGGCAACCATTTGTGCAGCAATTTACCACTCATACGGCCTGTATGTTAGAGTTGCCAGACGGAAGCTACTCCCTGCCTGAAATTTGCCAAAAGGCATCTGAAGGACTCAGACCATAAGAAATTAAATACTCTGGTCTGATGAGACAAAAATTTTACTCTTTAGAGTGAATGCCAGGCGTTATATTTGGAGAAAACCAGGCACCGTTCATCACCAGGCTAATACCATTCCTACAGTGAAGCATGGTGGTAGCAGCATCATGCTGTGGGGATGTTTTTCTGCAGCAACTGGAAAACTAGACAGGATAGAGGGAAAGATGAATGCAGCAATGTACAGAGACATCCTGAATGAATGACTGCTTCAGAGTGCTCTTGACCTCAGACTGGGGCGACGGTTCATCTTCCAGCAGGACAATGACCCAAAGCACATCGCCAAAATATCAATGAAGTGGCTTCACAACAACTCAGTGAATGTCCTTGAGTGGCCCAGTCAGAGCCAAGACCTAAATCCTATTGAACATCTCTAGAGAGATCTGAAAAGGGCTGTACACCATTGCTTCCCATCCAACCTGATAGAGCTTGAGAGGTACTGAGAGGAATGAGCAAAAATTCCCAAAGACAGGTGTGCCAAGCATGTGGCATCATTTTCAAAAAGACTTGGGGCTGTAATTGCTGCCAAAGGTGCATCAACAAAGTATTGAGCAAACACTGTGAATACTTCTGTACATGTGATTTGTCAGTTTTTTTTTACTTTTGATAAATTTGCAACAATTTGAAAAAAAACTTTTTTCTCTTGTGTGTAGAATTTTGAGTAAATAATTGAATTGAATCCATTTTGGAATAAGGCTGTAACATAAAAAATGTGGAAAAAGTAAAGCAATAAGAATACAATCCGGATGCACTCTATTCAAGCAATCTTCCTCCGAGATCACTAGGTTGGATTCTCTCTCCCATTTTAGTCTGATGTCATTTGTCGAGTATGCCTTGATGGATTGGATGGCAGAATACAATTTTGAAAAAAGTCTCCTATTGTATTTGTTTTTATAGATGTCAATAACTAAGTCAATTAAGTTGGGGAATGGTTCTCCAAACACCTAATCTCACTATTATGGTCCTGGTTTGCAGGTACCTAAGGAAATCACATTTGTCCAGACCGTACATATCCAAGATTTTCTGAAAACGATAAAATTCCCAATTTATTCTAATTTAAAGAGATTACACTTTGTAAACTAGTTTCTAAGGGGAACTTTGGACCACTGTTTTAAGCAATTTAAATACTGTTTATGTCAAATCTTGCTACCCAATAGTGATTGTAGTGGAATATCAATTTCTGAAGTGCCCAGCTCTTTCCATTTTGCTTTGTATTTAGGGTTACAACAGCATGCAAAGGGTTGTAACTGCACTGCTTTGTCCTTTTCTCTTTAGACAGAGTCAATGTTTTAGATTTAATTTTAGGACTCCTGCCACTCCATAAAAATATTTAATGGAATTTCAAATGGTAGGGATTTTTACTATTTTTTGGTACTTTTATTTATAGGGTCATGATTTCTATCAAATAATTGGGTCATATTTTTAGTTAGGTGAGGGAATTTCTAGCTAAATAGTAAGATCTCTTATGTGTACAGTACATCAGAGGGTGACACACGAACGGATTTTCCCTCCTGTCTCGTATCATTCCCACAGAAAGAAAAGTCCCGCTCCACTCCCAGACTAAAGTTTAAAAAATAATCCTTCTCCTGGTAAAATGACTCCCACTCCTGTTTAAAATGACTCCCACTCCCATCCCACTCCTGTTTAAAATGACTCCCGCTTTTGTACCGCTCCCGTATATATTTTTTCTACTTTTAGTCTTTAGATAATACATAGAATTTCATTTTATCTGCTCCCCTGTTTTAGACCAGCTGCTGAGTCCTTATTTCTAACCTGCATTTACTCATTTATTAAAAAGTTTTTTCAAATTAACATGTTAACAATTTTCATCCAAAATGCTCTTGCATAATGAGAGAGAGAGAGAGATGCAGCATGCACAATTTAAACATATTGATTAAAGATTAACACGTTTTGAAACAAAAAATCAAACAAGCAGAAACAAATTCTTAAAAGACTTAACACCTGACCCAACGAAAACATGTTTGACTGATTCTTTTCCGAATTTGCCTTGCAAGTCTGCTTTTTAGACCACTTGTCTTTGAATCTCTGGTGTTCTTGACTAAGATGAAGCATGTTTCACAAGCAACATACGGGGCCCTATCATACACCCGGCGCAATGTGGCGCAAGGCGCGGCGCAATACTTGTTTGCTAGTTTCAGCTTGGCCCAAGAGTGGTTTTGAGGCGTTGCGCCTTGCTGTTTAAATAGCAAATGCATTAGCGCTCATATGTGCGCCCATAGGCGTTCTGGTCTAAAAAGGAAGGAAGGTTATTATTATTAGCAGTACTATTTATTATATCCATATTTATATTTGTTTTATTAAAAACAAGCTTAGATTTGCCCACCTGTCATGTTTTAGACCATATGGGGCACAAGATGTGTTTTAGGATATAACTCAGGTTTTTGAACACACTTCGTTATTGTTGTTCATTTATTCGTTTGCTGGAAATCCGAACCGAATTTAGAAATAGTTTTGAAACGAATATTTGCGCTTAACAAACAAAATTGTTTATTTGTAGACTAATTGATGTCTGTGCGTAAAGGTTTCCCTATCCAAGAGCGAAAGTGATCCATTATCTTTCATTCTCAGGCAGTAGATGCTTTGTTTAACAGTTTTCTGTTAAAAAAACTGTTAACTGTTAACCGTTTGCTAGTGAAAGGCTCAGTTTTTCCACTTAGACTTACTTTACGTCCTGTAAATAGCGAATGCGCTTAAATGGCGCGACGCAGCTGACTCTTGAAGGGAATGGGAGGTGACACTCTAATTGGTATATTTTCAAAACACACCTATAACTCATTAAGAAAATAAACTCAACCCTTTTAGACCATGCGCCAAGGCGCAAAGCGGATTTTCCCGTCCGTAAATTAGCAAAAATGCGTTCTGACACGCCCTGAAAGCGTTTGCGCCCTGCGTTTTGCGCTCTGCGCATGGACCATCAAAATAGAGCCCACGGTGTGCTAATATCGTTATACTTAACTCTCATGAACTTCATTGATATAAGCTCCCTCCAGCACTGATGGCTTCTGGGTCGTGTAGTTCTTTTTTAATTGTGTTACATTGTAACCATATTAAAAGGAAACTACATTTTTTGTCATCTTCCTATTGGTTGATTCCCGCTCACATCTGCTCCTGTTAACTATTTTATCCTGTACCATCCCAATCCTGTTATTTAAAGCAAAGAAGACTCTGTGACTTGTGGGATTCCTGAAAAAAATGTCATCGTCTAGTGTACATACAACATTTTGATGCAGGAGGCCTGGGTAGTAACACATAATGAAAACATTTGAGAAAACCAAAAACAAACATGTTTTGGTGTTTTATAAGCCCTTAAGCGTTAGCTCAACCCAATTTTCTTTGGTCCAGAACAATATAAGTAAATGACAACATGAGTAAATTCATAATTTTATAATTTATAAATTAATTTTATAATTATAAATAAGTCATAAAGAGTTAACTAACATTTCAGAAACCTACAGAAATCTGTGGTGTGCATGGTATCAATAACTATTCTGAGAAGAACTTTTAGGTAGATTGAAGACGTTTTAAAATGCTTAGACCTTCCAAAATATATATTTAGTTTTTTTAAATTAATTAAGTGATTTTAAATCCCTCATGATGATTTCAAACTGTGCATTCCACAACATTTTTTCAACAAAAGCCTCTTTTGTGTTCTGCAAAAGTCATACAGGTATCAAACAACATGAGGGTGGAACTATAATGGTAGATTTATCATCCTGTTTTTCAAACCACCACCACAAGACAACCCTGTTTCTGCTAGATGAAAATTCATCAAGTTCTGACCTGTGATCTGTTATGTATTTACATATTCAATGTGACCAAGCAAAAGCTGTCGTGTCTAAAAACAGTATAGCAGTCATGACCCTCATGTCTTTCTCTCTTCCTCTTAATCAGATTCTTTTACAGTCATGCTGTCTGTACAATTCCGTGATGTTGTTGTGACGTCTCAAGAATTCACCTTTTATGATTGCACTTCAGTCAAACAGCTTGCAGGAAGCTTGCCGTAAGTGTCAAACACACATGTTATGGGCACAAGCAAACAGAATTGGACACTTATCATGGGGTTTGTCCATCACTATAAAATTTTGCTACGTTTCCATCTGTGCATTAAAAGCATATCTGCATATATTTTGAAAAAGTGTGTATTTACACAGAGTAGGATAAACTGAAAAGAACATGTGCATTAACTACAATAGAAACACATTTAGCTCATAAATTTTTGCATAATTTTGTTTTAAAAGATTATGTAATAACGAAAATGGACGTGATGGGGCAGCATTATCAAACTAGCAGTTTAAGTAAAAGAAGCAATTTGAGCACAGTAAAACCCAATAAATAAAGAGAACTCAAACCAACTGAGTACAGTAAAACTCAATAAGTTAAGGCAACTCAAACCATTTGAGGAAACCGAGTGCTACAAACCATTTGAGTTAAACTAATCTAAATGAGTACTTTGAACTTACTTATTTAAGTTGATGTAATGAGGTTTTTAATTAACTCATTACCTTCAACACTAAGTTCAAACCTCTTTTCAAATTAGTAGAATTAACTTTCAGTAAATTTTGAGTTAACTGCACTCATCTCATTTGATAAAGTTGACTGTTGGGTTTTACAGTGTATTATTACCTCCAGAGGTGTCTTGAGCAGAGGTGTCTGCGCTCCCAAAGAGTATCTCATACCATCTGGGGTGCAAGTAATTTATTTAGGAAAAAAGGCCCCCAGTGGCTTCTAACGCAGCATTTGGTGTCAGTTTATCAGGAAGTGACAATACTGTTCCCTTTTACACACTGGATTGAAACAATGCAACAATTCGCAAATGTTTTATGTGTTATTTCAGTTTTGCACACAAATCTCTTTGGATGGAAACATAGCTATTGACTGATACGTAGTTCTCAAGTTTCAAAATGTAACAAACAAGTTTTTAGTTTGCTATGTATTTTTGAATACTTACATTAAGTCATTATTTTTTATTGGATTTTGCTTTGTTTTATGCAGCTGCCATGGTTGTGTGCAAAGTCACTGGGGATGCAATTGGTGTGTGAAACAACATATGTGTACCCACAAGACTGTGTGCGATGAGGGATTAATAATCTACAATGAACATGTAAGTCATAAAATAAACAACAGTTCTTTCTCCCTATGCTAAACTCCAAATAACTGGTAAACAATGCTAATAATGGATTAAGATTTGTTGTAGCTTCTTGCACTTGAAAACTCTTTTTAAGCGTGTCCCTAATGTTCTCCTTTATATCCCATTCCTAATAACTGAAACACAAGATTTTTATAAGCAGATCGCTTGTATCTGTTGTTTCTCTTTTATTAGATATTAATATAATTTATTTTTTAAAATATACATTACTTGTGTATGATTTGCCCATTTAATTAGGATTCTTTAAATAGTATTTTGATGTATTACTTAATTTAGAATCATTTACATCAGTATTGCAATGCAAATTCTATTGCACAGCTCGATGGCCTTTTTAAAATAGAAATTGTAGGTTTTTGGGAATTCAATTTTTTTAATTAGGGGTAATGTTTAGTTATTCAAAATATGAGCTGTGATTTGGTTCATAGTACTGTTAAAAGAATAAAAAAACAAAAAAAACAAATGCAATCATCATCAGGTGCAATCAACCTTGCACAAGTCTAAAAAATTCAAAGCTACAGGTTTCATGAATCAGAATCATAACTACATTGTATTCCCAGTGTATTGACTTTATTCTGTAAATGAGGAAATGCACTCAATATCTGATTTACTTTAAAACTTCTGATTTAGTTGTCTATTAAATAAATAATTAGGGATAATAAACGGCAGAAGACGTTCAAACTACTTTGAAGTGTTGAGCCAAAATGATTTGAATGGCTGTGCCCGTTGAAGAAAAACATTTAGGGCCCTATCATACACCAGGCGTAAGACATGCTTGGCACGATTTGTTGTTATTTTCAGCCCAGCACGACCCTAATTTTCACGTTGTTTAAATAGCAAATCAATTTGCATCACTTTGTGGACTCATGGGTGTTTCAATCTAAAAAGGAGATGTGTGAAGGCGCTTTGTTGGCACCTTATTTATTTTGATGAATTAAAATAGATCACACCATTGACCAACTAAAAGCTGGTCTAAAGTCCAGCGTAGAGTGCATTAGTATGTTCCTATGCAGGTCCAAATGCTTATACATTGCTTAATACACACACACAAATATCTTTACATATAAAAAAAATTAAAGTGTAAAAATGGTACAATAATTGCTGGCACCAATGGCCTAGTGGTTAGTGCATTGACACGTAGCACCAAGGTGCTCATGGTGATCCAAGTTTGATTCCCAGCTTGAGGTCCTTTGCCGATCATTCCCCTATCTTTTCTCCCCACACTTTCCTGTCTGTAAAATCTCCACTGTCCTACCCCAATAAAGGTGAAAACCCCTAAAAAATAATTATAAAAATAAATAAATAAATAAATAAATAAAATGTTAAAAAATATATTATTTTCTACACAAATATAAAAACTACTATCTCCATGCCTTATCTCATGTGGCTTTTTTCAGTTATTTCATGACAATTTGCATTTGTAAAATTAGTATGATTATTAGGAGTATGATTTATTTTATGCATATTTATATTTGTTTTAATAAAAACAAGTTTAGATTTGTCACCTGTTGGGTTTTTAGAGACGTATGCACCACCATATGGGGCATAAGAATAGGCTTGGATATAATATGTTTGGGTGTCTTTGTCTTTTTTTTTTTTGTCTTTGTTCATTTATTGGTTAGCTGGAAATTAGAATTGAATTTATAAATGGTTTTGAAACAAATCTTTACTCTTAACAAATGAAATTAAAATATGTACATTAATTGATTTCTTTAATGAAGTGCGTTCAGCACAATTTTCTTACTCCACTAAAGGAGTAAAGTAGAGTAAAAGTAAAGAGAAAGTAAGGAGGCCAAATGGAGGAGGCTTGTTCTTTATCCTTGTGCAGATGGTCTGTTTAACCTTTTCTCACTAGTGAAGCAATCAGCTTTTCCAATTACAAAGTCTGCCATGTAAATAGCAAATGTGCCATGGCGCAACGCAACTGACTCTTATAGGGAAGGGGAAATGAGACTCTCATTGGTTTAATGCATGTTATGCTCAAAATACACTCATAACTGATTAAAAGAATAAGCACACCCCTGTTAAAATGTGTTTTTCTGTTTTTAAAATGGCTAAAGTGGGTTCGGACATGCGTTTAATACTTTTGCACCATGCGCTTTAGGCTTTGTGCCAAAATAGAGCCCTTAGAATTCTATCTACCTTTGTGCCAAGATGATTTGTAATGGGTCCTATTATAATCACTTACTTATTTTACTGTTGTGCCTCTCTTGGTTTTCTCTGCTTGTCTTGCTCTCAGTGGAAATCTCTCCCTACGTTACCTCCTGCAACCAAAGCTTCCAGAGCCGCATTCATGACCTTTCCAGTCACAACACACAAAAGCCCTGAAACCATGGCTCATACTAAACCTCCAACCACTGCCGCAGTAATAACTGAATCTCTAACTTCTACACCATCATTAACCTCTCCTGGCCCTGTGAAACAAACGCCGTCCACTAAGATTTTTTCTTCTTTCAAGCCGTCTGCTGTGCCCACAAGTGCCTCTCTCGCAGCCACACTTCAGCCAGCTTCCACACCCTCTCTGCTTGAGGAGATCCTCTCAGAAAAGGAGCTTCTTGTTACTGATATTGAATCAGTGGCATTGAGCGAGACTGAAACTGATGTGGTGACTCTTACTGGTTTAGACGCGGTAGTAAAAACGGAGTTGCCTTCAGTCGTGGAAGCTGCTGAAGAGCAAAGAGTCTCACTGCCATCATCATCATCATCATCAGCCGTAATCGAAATGTCCACAGAAACTCCACCACTGATAGAGCCAGTCACACGTGATACTTTTCTCACCAGCACCCCTCGGATGTTTGCAGAAAGATTGAATGTAACCAATGAAACACAAACTGCAGTTTTACCTCCAAGTCCAGAAGCAGATGGATCTGAAACGGACACCAATGACTTTTTGCCGATATCTGAAAGGGTTTCGCCTGCAATGCCTTCAGAGAATCGGATCAGCACTGACCATGAAGCAGCTCAGTTGGCTCCACAGGAAACCGAGGAGGTGGAACTGCTGGAAAATGACAATTCAACCTTTTCTGCCGCCACAGTATTATCAGGGGATGGAGAATCAGACAGTTATCCATCAGTTTATCTCCACAGCTCAGACATAGATGCTGATTACCAGTACGACTCGGCAGATTTACTGGTGAGTCCAAACATCTAGAATTCAAGCACAGTACAATTTGAAAGAAAGATAGAAGTGTCTTTTAGGCTGCATTTACACTGCAGATCTTGATGGTCAATTCCTGTTTTGTGACTGTATCCGTTTTTTTTTTTTTTTTGACCTGCTTAAATCATTTTTTGAAAGTTACTTGTATCTGATTGTCTACATTTACACAGCACACGGCAAAGGCGCAATGACCAGGAAAAAAAAAAGAGCTGGCGCTGACTAACAGCTGATAATTAAAGAGTGCTCTTTTCTCTATTCCTGTATATAATCTTTTCGCAGCTTTTGACAAGTTGTTTTACTCTAGTTTATGACAGAAAGGTTCTCATTTGTCCATCTTCTGATACATAGGCTTTTTAAACCTTTAGGCATCTAATGTTATGTCCATGGCGTGATTTATGCACGTGATGTATGCACTAGTTTTATATTAGTTTATATTGGTTACTTGGCGAACATTGTGCTCTCTCGCTCTCATTCTCAACATTCTTAAATACCAGTGCTATATGACAATATAAAAGCTGTTTAAGTCCTCGTGTATGAGATTTAAGGTTTGGGACTCTGCTGAAGTCTGTTCTGAAAAGAAAGCATCAGACTTAACGTCATTCGTTACGGTTTTTAATGACGCGCAAATCGCATTGACAGGTGAAAATCCGATCCACCTGCTTATACTGCAGACACAACGGCATGGATCTGATTCATATTGGATAAATTTCCACTTATGGACAAGGCCTGAATCTGATTTGAGTAAATCGGAATCCATGTGACTTGTTCCTGCTTACACATGGGCCATATCCGATCTGTGCCACATGGGAGAACAAAATCGGAATTGAGTCACTTGAACAGTGCAGTGTAAATGTGGCCTTAGTTACTTCAGTTTTCAAAGGATTTGTTTGAAATACAAAAAACTGTAATACTCATATATTTAAAAATACTTTGTGCAATAATATGATGATAAATATTGTCAGGAAGGAACATCAGGAAGAATAAAGGGTAACACTTTATAATAACTACACACTATGAATAATTTATTTAGCATTAGCATATAGTATATTCATTATTTGTCGAGCATTAACTACATTAATAAATGTTATTAAGCAGTTCATAACTTCAGCTACAAATGTTTTATTTTTGACTTGTTAGCACATTTATAATAGGTGTACTTTCATAATTTGTGACTGATTTTTCATTACTAAATTGAGTAAATTTAGTAATGAAACAAAGCATTTATTCAACATGTAAATTGAGTACATGTTGAATAAATGCTTTGTTAACACAACTTCATGCAGTTTTGTGACCTAATCTAAAGTGAGGATTATTTATGCTTTATTAATCCGTTATAAATGACAATTAAAAGCAAAAAGAAAATACATCTTTGCAATCCTATATAGAAAATAGAATTACTGTAAAGTTTAGTTAAGATTGCAATGATTTATTTTTCATTTGTTGCAGTTTCATTTGTGTATCTTCAAACAAATAGAAATGAATAAAGTTGTTTATTTTCTTTGTTCCTGTTTAGAATTTAACTGAGCCTTTCATTGTCATTTATACACTGCAAAAAATGCTTTTCTTACTTAAATTTGTTGTCTTGTTTCTAGTCTAAATATCTAAAATTTCTTATATCAAGAAGCATTTTTTAGACAAGCAAGCCATATTGCCTTGTTTTGAGAAATATTATGCCAATATTAAGTCAGTTTTTTCTTAAAACAAGCAAAATAATCTGCCAATGGGGTAAGCAAAATAGTCTTGTTTTTTCTTTTGACGTAAGATTATTTTGCTAACCCCACTGGCAGATTATTTTGCTTGTTTTAAGGAAAAACTGACTTAATATTGGCATAATATTTCTCAAAACAAGCAATATGTTTTGCTTGTTTAGAAAGTTCTTCTTGATTTAGGAACTTTTAGATATTTGGACTAGAACCAAGACAAAAAATCTAAGTAAGAAAAGCATTTTTTGCAGTGTAAGGGATTATGAATAATCCTCAATTTTGATTAGGTCACAAAACTGAACGAAGTTGAGTTTAAGCATTTATTAACAAACAAATTAACTATTTGCATATGCCTGAATAATAAGATATAGTTGAAGTCAGAATTATTAGCCCCCCTGAATTATTAGCCCCATGTTTATTTTCCCCCCAATTTCTGTTTAACGGAGAGAAGATTTTTTTCAACACATGTCTAAACATAACTGTTTTAATAACTCATTTCTAATAACTGATTTATTTTATCTTTACCTTTATGACAGTAAATAGATATTTTTAAGACACTTCTATATAGCCTAAAGTGACATTTAAAGGCTTAACTAGGTTAATTAGGTTAACTCATTGTATAATGATGGTTTGTTCTGTAGACAATCAGGGGAAAAATAAATTAAAGGGGCTTATAATTTTGACCCTAAAATGGTTTAGAAAAAATTAAATACTTCTTTTATTCTAGCCGAAATAAAACAAATTAGACTTTCTCCTGAAGAAAAAATATTATCAGACATACTGTGAAAATTCCCTTGCTCTGTTAAACATCATTTGGAAAATATATTTAAAAAAAAATAAATTCTAAGGTGGGCTAATAATTCTGACTTCAACTGTATATGGTAATTTGAATATTTTTTAAATCATTAACAAAGTATAAAAAACACAATTACTAAACACATGTACTTATAAGTCGAGACTAGAGGATTTGTAGCTGCATTTATAAACTGCTTACTAATGTTTATTAATTTGAAGTTTATGCTTGACAAATAATAAATTCACTGTTTGATAATGCTTAACACATGATTCATAGTGTGTATAGTTATTATAAAGTTTTACCGAATAAAGTAGTTTTAACATTTTGTTAAAAGACCTCATCTGTTAATATGAATGCATTAGCTGTTTATTATGAACTTACAATAGATTTTAAAGCAATTATGAATCTTTGTTAATGCTAGTAAGCATATACAGTTGTCCATTGTTTGTTTTAAATTACATTAAAATGTTTTACACATAGTAAATCTGAAGATGACTGTTCAGTGGTAGCTTTAAAATGAACAATGTAGATAGCAAAGTGTCAGAGAATTGTCAGAACTTGATTTATGATAAAAATGATTAAAACTGCTGCAGTATTTAGTATTACATAACCACTAAATTAACTCTGGTTTACTCCCATAGCCTAAGGACATGTACTGTAGGTTAGGTGAATTGAAGGTTCTACATTTTCCTGACACGTTTAAGAAAGACTTGAACATACAAAAACACTTGTGTATGATTTACGCAATGAATATAACAAAATAAAAAATAAAGAAATAAAAAACAAAACCGCAAATAAGAACAAAAACACTTTATAGCATTTTAAGCGTTTAAATTTAAACCTCTTTTATTAAATTAAAAAAAAATATTCTTTTAAAACTTTACTCTCCACGTCTGACCTGCTGATCTTTTCTGTTTTTGTCATGTTATTTAACAAGAAGTTGAAAGTTTGAATTAAATGTTACACGGTAAAATACATAAAATTAAGATGTCATATGTATATAACCCCTGTATGTTTTTACAGTGTGATCAAATAAATTTTATCATGCATGCTTGTAAAATTGTCCTTTTTAAAAATAAATCAGGCTGACGAAGGCGCATTTGTCAATTGGGGAGCATCTGCATGTCCGTGTGTGGAGAAGATTCAAGGATCCTCTCTGCTCCCTGTCCAAACTCAGAGAAAAATCTCTCTGCTGGCTCGCAACTTGCAGCTCTATCAGGTAACAACAAAAAAACACCCACTTCTCTCTGATATAAAAAAAAATATCTAGATTTAATAAAAAAAAAACTGTTTCTTCCTAGGACCAGGAGCTGGCATATGAGTGTGTATTGGTGATCGAGGGCCAAACTGTGGTGGTTGATGCAGATGTTGCACAGAATGAGGCGAATCCTTTGCTGTTTGACATCACTTGTCTTGCTCATCAGGTACCACAAAACAAAATGGACTCCAGTGGCTACCTGTAATGTTCACTTGCCCTAATATAATAGTACATAATGGACAAGCACTGACATGTGCCACTGCTGATCTCATCTCCCGATATTTTACTGGAATTTCCTGTCACTTCTCTGTAACGCCAAAACAATCATTTTAGACACAACAACTCCTGAATAATTTTAAATGCTTGTGTGTTCTGTGTGAAAAGACTGAAGTTTGCTGATTGTGTGAGTGTTGACTGAAATCATTCTACCCATGTCTTCTACAGTATGCATATGCAGAGCCTGTTAGGGAGTATAATGCCATGGTGTATGTGAAGAGAAAAGACACTTTTCATATCGACAGCTCTGATCTTTATGGTAAGTATGAGTGTTTTGATGCTTAAAATGGCCAAGTTTACGCTAAATAAACATATAAATGTAGATATCCTTTTATATATATATATATATATGCATACAGTTGTGGGCAAAATTATTAGCCCTCTTATGCAATATTTATTCTTTTTCAAATATTTCTCAAGTGCTATTTAACAGATTAATGATATTTTCACAGTATTTCCTATAAAAAATTTTCTTCTGGAGAAAATCTTAATTGTTTTATTTCAGCTTGAATAAAAGCAGTTTCAGTAAATAAAAATATTTTTAATAATTTACTGATATTATCACCCTTGAGCAATATATATATGTTATGTATATATATATATTGTCTACAGAACAAACCACTGTATGCACTGCCACTTTATGCTGAATACTAGCATCTTGAAAAACATCTAGAAAAATATTATGTACTGTCATCATGGCAAAGATTTAAAAAATCAGTTATTAGAAGTTAGTTATTAAAATGATTATGTTTGGAAATGTTGAAAATAAATAAAATAATTCAAACAAGAAGGCTAATAATACTGACTTCAACTGTATATACTATACTTTTAGATTTATGTAGTCATTCATTACACTATTGTCACCTGTGGAACTGCTTAACAGCTGAAATTGCATTTGTTTAATAAACAAGGATGAATGAAATGAATTAGATGAATGCAATTGTTCGATAGTTACATTTAGCACTGCTGTTACAAGAATAGCACTGCTGTTCTTCTGTTCATTATGGTGAAGCTGCTTTGAAGTGGTCTACATTATATAAAACATTAAATAAATGTGACTTATTCTGTGCAAATGAAACCGTTGAAGCTAGAAAATTTTGGACTGAGTGATAAACGAAACTAAAAAGAAAACGATTAAATGGAAATATGCGGTTTTCTTACATTTAACTTCAGTATAGTATTTGGAATGGAAAAGATAAATGAAAACTGTAATGGAAAATCATTCATTAATGATTCAACATAATGATTCAACAATATAATTAAAATCATATCATTGGCAAGGCCAGAAATTCTATTGAGCGGTCCCTAGTAAAACTAAGTGGACTGTGTTTAAAAAATTAATTTAGCAAATATTGATTACTAGCATTATCAAGGTTTTGGCTGAGAGAGAAAAGGTCTAAAATAGGAGCAATAATTCTATCATATCTATCAACACTGTTTTTGGCAGGATTCTCTTTTACTATTCTATCCTGCTGTCATTCTGTTTAGGTATTTTCCTGTATTTTCAATCTTTCTATAAAAAGTGGAAGTAGCATCAAAATATCTCAAATGTGATATAATTCCAAGAGCTGTTCATGAGAATATTGCTTTCACTTTATTTTGGCTTGAAACCACTGTGAAACTAATATACAAATGGTTGCATTCACTTCATTTCCATTAAAGCTATGAGAAGCACTCTGTATAAAGACCCTTTTCGTTAGCTGGTATTCCGTATTTTTACATCCCAATGTTGACAGCTATGAATTTTATGCTTAATTGAGAGAAAAGTATTTCTTTCTTCTTGAAAAAGTACATGTATACTAAGTACATGTAAACGGTATACGTGTACTTTTTTCAACAAGAAAGAAACACATGACTATCTTATGTATGCTGCAAAACTCTATTTTTAAAAAAAATTTACATACATTTTTACACATTTATTTTTACAATACATACTTGTTGAAAGAATACATGTTTACTAAGTACATGTAAATAGTATAAACATGCACTCTACAGTTTAAAGGAGTCATGAAATTGAAATGTGGTATTTAAAGATGTGAAATGACCCTACAGTAAAAACATTTGGCAAATGTCAGAACTCAAAGCTAACTGTGTGTATTGTAACCAAGTTGTAAATCCTTTGTGTTTCCACTATTGCAGTGACGTTATATAACTGTTCAGTTGGACACTCGGACTGTAGCCGCTGTCACACTGCCGATCAGAAGTACCGCTGTGTGTGGTGTGGGAGCACTTGTGTTTACAAAGGATCCTGTTCTCAACACATTCAGATGACCTGTCCTGCTCCGCTCATTCATTTGGTTTGTTAAACAGCCTCAAATTTCACAAAATGCAGTATTCTTTAGTATACAGCAGTCAACATTCACAGTGGATTTAAACCTTTTATCAAAGTAAAACCAGGGTCTCTGCAGGGTCCTAAAGCCTTAAAAAACTAAATTTTAGGACTTTTAAAAGTGTCAAATTTACTGAAATATTGTGTTGTAGGTCTTTAATCATTTTAAACAGGTCTTAATTTTCCCGTATCTATGTAAACCCAATTAAGCTGACATTCATCCAATTACCAGCAATCCAACTCAATAGAACTTTTAACAAAACCTTTACTTATTAACTTCTTTAACTAATGTGCTTCAATTATCTTCTGTAAAAAACTTTTTGTTTGAAAGTTCTCCATGTATTTATAACCACCTAGTGGGGATGCTGACCTGGACAGATTGTTGTGCGTACATTTAGTTTATTATAGTTCTTAAAATAGGGCTATTTTTTTAAAGATACATGATATTTAAAAAAAAATGCATGTACACATTATTTAAAATATGTCGCTATAAAATAAAAATAAAAGTTTAAATAACTTGATATTTTGTTCTTGAAATTTCATTCATAATGATTTTAAAACGAAACCTCCCTCTTTCGATTCAAGTCTTTCGAATAAAAAAAAAGGCTTTGTGATGGGTGTGGAGCACTGACAGCAGGGGGAGTAGAGGGCATGGCTGGCAGAGCAGAGGAAAAAGAGGGGAGCGAACAACTGTTATCAGTTGGTTCACAAAATGAGACAAACTGTGAGGAGACCCATGATATTATAGTTTACAAAGTTAAAATGCAAAGAAATAAACAGTAAGTAATTTAATGCCCTGCTACATTTGTTATTGGTAATTTCATATAAACATAACCACAATGTGTTTTATCATTAGAAAGATGTTTATGTCAACACTCTCACGTCTTTTCATAAGATAAGAAAACTTATGAATAGTAAGTTGAAGAATTACTATGAATAATATTAAGAAACTGGCGCGTCATCAATACACTAGAAGATTCGCGATACGTCACCGATTTTAATCCTGCCCCAAAAATTATTTTAAACCTGGAAGATGAAATTAGCTGACAAAAGTTTTCCCCACAATTAAAGCTGACAGGTGCTATAGTTGTCTTAACTGATGCTTAACACACAAATCTGTTAATTTTTTTTTTTAAAGTACTCCAGGGTGTCCTGAACCTTTAAATTTGCCTTGATGAAACCTGCAGAAACCTTGCAAATTCTGAACAACATCCATTCTTGTTTTAGGACAATTTCGAAAAACTGCTTTTGATCCACTTCAAATTTTGATCACTATATGACTCTTAATGAAGTACGAGTAATACAATAATTTGTCTCTAGTTTGTTATAACTGACCACATGTGAGTATTGACCAAAACATGCAGCTGATATCTTAAGTATAAGCAAGAAAAAATGTGATCATGGTTTTGATTGAAAGGAGTGCATGATCAGATTAAACGTAAAAGCAATAGAAGTCACATTGTATACGTGTTAAAACAAAAATCTCTATTTTAAAAATGCTGGTTTTCTGTGTCTAGGTGGAGCCTTTGTCAGGACTGGTGGAAGGAGGAATTACTTTGACTGTTTCTGGCTCTAACTTGGGCCAGAAAGCTCAGGATATCCTTCAGTCTGTGACCGTTGCAGATGTGCCCTGCACTGTTATACCACATCTGTATGAAATATCTACCAGGTAAAAACCCACATTACACACTGTGTTACTTATCAGTGTTCACAACCGCTTTTGTTGCTTCATATATGTGTTACTTTTTTCAGGATACATAGAAATTGACAATTCGAACAAACAGCAATTATTGAAAATAAAACTACACGTCTTTACTATTACTTTTGATCATTTTAATGTGGAGTATTTTTTTCTTTTTTAAAATGATTATGCATCACATGTTCCACAAAAATACATAAAACAGATAAAATAACATTTAATTTAAAATACTCAAAGCTTTTAGTATTGGCTTCCTTTTGCTAATTTAATGTGTTTTAGAAAAAAAAAATACAGCACAAGCATCATGTTTCATTTGAAAATTCTAGATTTTTCTAGTGCTGTGAAATGACTAATTGTGACTAAGAACGTACAAAATAAAAGTTTGCATTTACTTGATTTTAAATGTACCGTGCATTTTAATTATAAATGTAAAAATACACACATTCATATATATATATATATATATATATATATATATATATATATATATATATATATATATATATATATATATATATATATATATATATATATATATATTAATGGTCTAACGATATGCATATTCGGATTGAACTGTTTGGTACGACACTTTCGGTTCTGTACACATTGCAAAACGAACGATTCAGACTAATATCTAAAAAGATAAAAGAGAATAAGTACAAAAAACAATTCTGCAATGCTGTCAATCGTGTGACTGATACCACGTTCACCATCGCTAAAGAGCATGTATTCACTGAGATGAAACTAATATTGCAGCTCATGAAAAGACCCTTACTGCTATTAGGATGACGTATGCAAATAATAAGTTAGATTATCATCTGTGCAATATCAAACACCTCCCTTGAAAACAGCACAGTTATTATTGTTAATTCAGTTCATTTCATTCACGTCAAACAGTGTGTGCAGGGTTGGTGAACTAATTGCAGATTTTTGTTTATTTGTTAGTTGTGATTAGAGTGTTAATATAAAATAGAATCTGTTAATATAAAACGTGGAGTAACTGTGCTCATCATTTTTGGTGAGTGCGACTAAATTTTGTCTGGGGCACCTACATTTTTGAAGTTATGAGCACCGGTGCTACCAAGAAAAACAGTTAATTTTGAGCCCTGTGAGAAATTTCCAGTAGTGGAAAATTCGGGTTTTAAGAAAATGTTAAATGTAATAGAGCCCATTATTCCTTCATGAGCCCATTTCAGTCAGATAATTCCTGCTTTCAGGTCCACTACAATGGCAGGTGACAGTAAAATCAAGCAGATCTGTGCTGTCTGAAGAAAAGGTGGACACTCATCTTTCTGAAAATAAAAAAATATTTAAAAATAGATTGAAACTGAGTTCCATATAAAAACTAAGTTGTTCTTTTCTTTTCATTTGTTTAACTACTACAATGTCACATTTGTTTTTTATAGGAAGCTTTTTGGTTTGAAGTAAAAAGAAGGATTTGTTTAATTTGCTGTTAAGCAGAAACCCCAGTATAGCTCTATCACTCTTTAAAGTAAAATAAAACTTTAATGATGTTATTTTAACACATAAAAAATTAAAATGAGAGTAATCTTCTGGCTTTTTTCTTTTTTTTGCTGTATCGAAAACATACCGAACCGTGACACCACTGTGTCGTATCGAACCGAACCGTGTTATATATAGTATTTATGTTAATACATAACATTATAAAGAATTTTCTTATTGCATGGTTTCTGTTCATTTGCTGTGTTTTATGCCTCTTTTGTGTTTGTGCTTATACATTTGTCTTCATGTTTTTTAGAATTATATGTACAACTACAGCAAGTGGCAAGGAGAAGTCTGGTCACATCTCGGTGAGAGTTTCTGGTGGAGGTTTCGGCTTGTCAAGTCAGATATTCAGCTACCAGGTTAACTTTTATTTACTACCAATAAGCAAATTTTTTTTTGTCCATGGCTAACACCCGATTTATGTAACAGTTCATCATTTTTGTACACTTTTAAATACGGATTTAGAACTGCAATACACACCGATTTGTACCCTAAGCATCTGATTTTTTTTGATGAGCAGTGACTAATTTTAGAATTAAGGCCAAAAAGTTCTATCTTGGTCTCATCTGACCAGAGAATCTTATTTCTTATTAGCTTGGAGTTCTTCTGGCGGGCTTTCATGTGTTTTGCACTGAGGAGAGGCTTCCTGCTGTAAAGCCACTATTGGTGGAGGGCGGGCTGCAGTGATGGTTGACTTTCTACAACTTTCTACCATCTCCCGACTGCATGTTTAGAGCTCAGCCACAGTGATCTTTGGGTTCTTCTTTACCTCTCTCACCAAGGCTCCTCTCCTCCGATAGCTCAGTTTGGCTGGATGGCCAGCTCTAGGAGGGATTCAGATCATTCCAAATGTCTTCAATTTAAGGATTATGGAGGTCACTGTACTTTTAGGAACCTTATGTGCAGCAGAATTTTTTGTAACCGTAGCCTAATCTGTGCCTTGCCACAATTCTGTCTTTGAGCTCTTCAGGCAGTTCCTTTGACCTCATGTGCCTCATTTGCTCTGACATGCATTGTCAGCTGAATGGTCTTATGTAGACGGGTATGTGGCTTTTCTAATCAAGTCCAATCAGTATAATCAAACACAGCTGGACTCAAATGAAGGTATAGAACCATCTCAAGGATGATCAGAAGAAATGCACTGCACCGGAGTTAAAAAATATGAATCTCACAACAAAGGCTCTGGCTGCGTCTGAAATCACCTACTACTCAGTAGGTACTGCATTTGAATTTAAACGTACTACTCGGCTGTTAGAAAAGTATGTTCTATACAGTATGAATGTAAAAAGTATGAATGGAATTCGGACGTACTACATCCGCCATTTTGTCATGGTCACGTGACCCACCTGCGTCAGTTGCGTCGCTTCAGTTGCATTCATGAATTCGCTCGTGGGGCTTCATGGGATAGCAAAGCGTGCATGGAATGCGCACTTCAGAATCTCACCAGAAGTAGTAAGTCATCTGGGTTTTTCTCGCATACTGATTTTCAATGTCTATGAATTTGGACATACTACTCAGCTCGCATACTGATTTTAGCGTAATGTATAGTATAGAAGTATGCAGTTTCGGACGCAGCCTCTGAATACTTAAGACCATGAGATATTTAGTTTTTTCGTTTTTAAAGGTGTAGTGTGTAAGTGTGACACCCAGTGGTTGAACTAGGTATTACACTTTTTTCAAAGCAAACACTTGCACATCTTGCTAGATTGAGAACCAACAGAAGTGAATGTATTGAACCTAAAGGCTTATTTAAATCATGTTTTAAAAGGAAGCTTTTCCATATTAAAAGGAGTTTTAGTTTTAACCAACACCTCAAATCGATATATTATAAACAGCTTCTATTTCCTTCAGCTGAACAAGAGGATAAACTGATAATAACACCTCACATGCTTTATTCAGTGTTAAATGCTAACAATGTGAGTTTGAATGTCATTTTACATGACATTTATTGCCATACTACTGAAAGCAGCAGCAGATAGTTCATCTCAGATCTTGAAAATAAAATAAACTGTTTCAAATTGAACTTTAGAACTGTGACTCAACACAGGGATTCAGCACGTACACTTAATATAATGTTAAAGAGGTTTAATATGTATTAATTAGATTATAAAGCTTACAATTTTGTGACCGAGTGCATTCTGTGCTTCTGAATGGCTGTATTTAAATTTCTGTTGTGTTTCGTCTGGTGCAAACAACCAAATTGCTTAGTGCTGCACATTCCATCATGTAGAATGTTGTTAGGGCATGAGGTTACAATGTAATCTGCTTACCTAATGTTTACGCTTGTAACATTTATGTTATTTGCTAATTATTAACCACATGTGGAACTCTGAATCTGCGTCTCATTTCTGAGTCTGCTACTGTCCACTGGAGGTTGCATTTCCGTCATGGATGCATGCTTTGAGAACCTTTCTTTATGAATGAATGAACTGTGCAGTTTTCAAACAAAACCCAGGGTACTGAAATATAATTGGCTAAACTGACATTGGGCAAAAACCCAGAACAAAGACAGTCATTCCGGCATGTAATGCACATTTTCAAAGCAGAATATCTGACTTCAGCATTTTTTTTCAGATAAACAAGAATGTTCACTTTTTTTAATATCTGCAAACATATTATCGTATTTTTATACTTTAGTAGAGTCAAAACTTACATACGACACCTTTATTAAATCTGCAAAAATGTCAATTCTGTGTTTTTCTGTCAATATGGGGTGCTGTGTGTACATTAATGAGGAAAAAATGAACTTACCAAATGGCTGCAATCAGGGCGTGACATTAACTTTTTTGATCACCAGCCACTGTAGCTAGTAGTTTTCCACCATTGCTAGCCAGCCGCCATTTTCACTAGCCACAATTTTGCTGCTGGGAAAATATATTTTAAATACATCATTTTGACTTTGGCATGGGTTGCGGCATGCTAAAATGACTTCATTTAGATTTTGTGCTTTTTCCACTTGTCTCCTCATTCATTTAACTGTTTTTTGTTTATGAGCTTACTCAATGAGCATGAGAAAATGGGTTATGCTTTCATAAAAACGTGTCGCATTGCAATCAGTTTTTTTTTTTTCACAGGACTTTTCAGGGCTTAACACAATAAGGATTTATAATTTTTTTTCCCCTCTGGCCACACCAGACTAATTATTTCCTTGCCACAATAATTTTAAATAATGTGTTAAAACAAGCAAAATATACATACATAGGTATACATACACTTTTTATTCAAAATACAGCTGACATTTCAAAAATATATATTCCCACACATCTAAAACTATGCACAGTGGTCACACTGCATACAACAACAACATATTAAAGCAGTATTATTGTAAAGGATGATTATTAAACTATATTAACAAAAATAACAGCAAGCAAAAGAAAGCAGGTAAAAATTTTGTGCGTGATAATCAAAAAATGATTTTTTTTGTTAATGTCAGTTAATGTTAGGCCAATGTTAGTTGTTAGTTGTTAGCCAATGTTAGTTGTTTAGGAGTTAATGTTAGTTGTTAGCCAATGTTAATGTCAGTTATTGTTAGGCCAATTAATAATCTGTTTAAAGAATGTTTAAAGAGAAAGCGACAACAAGTGCTGCTGCCTAAAAAGAATCTCAAGCCCTTGAAGGACTGTGGGTGCACAAGCATTGCACTAGTTTCGTTTCCAGACACGGTTGCTTCGAGTGAGGAAACAGAGCTTTTAAACACTCGATATTAAAGCTCTCGTCAGTGAGTGAGGAAAGCCTATCTAACTTTGTGCGTGATCCTCTCATTAGTTATTCACCTGCTTTCTTTTGCTCGCGCGAAAAGCTGTTTTTGTCAGTCGTGGTTCTTCTCGATTCTAAGATCACATTTGTACGCATATAGACAAGTGTTCATAAACTAACAGTCTAATCTGTGGTGATGACGAGCCAGCACTGGCAATTTAAAAATGAGTTTCTGCCAGCCAAAGTGGCTTGTGGGAGTGGCTGTCTAACCCGGCGCCACAACCGAAATCTACCCGCATTTGGTGGGTTGGCGGGTGTTAATGTAAAGCCCTGGCTGCAATATAACCAAGTGTGAAAAATTTAAGGGGTTCTGATTACTTTCCATACCTACTGGATGTATGTATTTATTCATGTATGTATGTATATATGGTTTAATACTTTAGTGCAGGACCACAACAAACAATTATTTTGATAATTGATTAATCTTGTCATTATTTAACAAATGAATAATTAATTGTCATTGACCTATCAGTAGGTTTTGAATAATTATTTTGCTTTTGCAACTAGTTAAAATACTTGTTATGCATATTCTAAGAAATGAATAAAAAAATCACCTTATCTTTTGAAATCATTGTTTCAAGGAGCTTTGAACCAGCTGTACAAGTCACTCTCTTTTAGCTTTCTGATTCTGTCAAATTCAAATGACACAAAGGGCCCTGTCATACACCCGGCGCAGGTTGGCGCAAGACGCGGCGCAATAGTCTTTTGGTAGTTTCAGCTTTGTGCAAGAGTTGTTTTGAGGCGTTGTGCTACGCTGTTTAAATAGCAAATGCATTAGCGCTCATTTGTGCGCCCATAGGCGTTCTGGTCTAAAAAGGAAGGCGTTCTGAGGCGGACCGCTGGCGCGTTGCTATTTTGAGAAACTATAATAGATTTTTCATTAGACCAAAACAAACCCGGTCTAAACTCCGGTGCAGAGTTGCACCTCGCTTACGCACTGCTTAATACACACAGACAGCAATAGGCAAATATCTTTACAAGTGAAAAAATTTTAATATTAAGGATATATATAGGAAATAATAAGAATAGATATAGGATATAAATATAAAGGATTAAAATATTATAAAACTAAAACTAAAAATATTATTTTTTAGCCTACATAAATATGAAAAAACACTGCTTTTATGTCTTCTTCATCTCGGGAGGCTTTTTCAGTTCATTCATAACAATTTGCTTTTGTATAATGTTATTATTATTAGCAGTATTATTTAATATATCCATATTTATATTTGTTTTATTAAAAACAAGCTTAGATTTGCCCACCTGTCAGGTTTTAGACCATATGGGGCATGGCAGGTGTATTTGGAAATAACTCAGTATTTTGACCACACTTGGTCATTATTGTTCATTTATTCGTTTGCTACAAATCAGAACTAAATTTAGAAATAGTTTTGAAACAAATCTTTGCGCTTAACAAACAAAATTAATTATTTATAGGCTTATTGATGTCTGTGCGTAAAGGTTTCCTTATCCAAGAGCGAATGTGAAAGTAGATCCATTATCTCTCATTCTCACGGAGTAGATGCTCTGTTTAACAGTTTTCTGTTAAAAAAACTGTCAACTGTTAACTGTTTGCTTGTGAAATGCTCATTTTTTCCACTTAGACTTACTTTGCTCTTGGCGCAACGCAGCTGGGTCTTAAAGGGAATGGGAGATGAGACTCTAAATGGTTTATTCTCAAAACACACCTATAACTCATTAAGAAAATAAACTCAACCCTTTTAGCCCATGCGCCTTGGCGCAAAGCGCATTTTCCCATCCGTAAATTAGCAAAAACGCGTTCTGACACGCCCTGAAAGCGTTTGCGCTCTACGTTTTGCGCTCTGCGCATGGGCCATCAAAATAGAGCCCCAAAACTCTAACAGTAAAAAAACAACAACTAATACATAACTATTTGTAAGTCAAGTTTTTCTACAATAGACATGCCAAACCTTAGCTTGTGATCGAGCTGAAAAGTGATTGGTGCATTTAAATCGACTGCTTTCTTTGTTTTTAAGAAGTATTTGCAATTTTGAAGAATCAGAAGAGTTTAAATCAAGGTATCTTACATATTTCACTTTTAATTAGGACGAGAATCATATTTTTGTACAGTAAAATTACTTTGTTTATGTAAGAGGTCATTGTGTGGGATTGAGACAACATAACTGAGGTTTAATTTCAGTGTGATATTATCGATTACACACACATATAGTGTTTTAAAGACACCTAAAAGGTTTCAAACATTTCACACCTTATAAATGTCAGATCTTAAATCTTCCGTCGAATACCCCTTTATTTCTGATTAGTGATTATTATGTGAAGAATTTCCACTGATTTGTTTTTATCTCATTTCTTAAGGACCCGCATCTGTTTGAGGTTTCTCCTCAGAGGGGGCCAAAAGCAGGAGGAACTACTCTGACAATCACAGGCAGGAATCTTTTGACTGGCCGCGTTACCGATATCAGTGTCCTGCTGGGGAATGTGCCCTGTTCATTGTAAGTCCTCCATGCATGAGTGTAATATGAGCATAGTCTATGATTGGGAAGTTCTTTTATCCCTTCCTTTCCTTTGCAGAATATCAGGTGTTCAGGAGAACTCTATCAGGTGTCAGACTGGAGCCAGTAACAGGACTGGAGAACATCAAGTAACTGTGCGCTATGGAAACAATGAGCGACGTCTCCCTGGCACCGGCTACTTCTATACCCCTGACCCCAACATCACAGACGCCATGCCCTCCAAGAGCTTTATCAGGTATAAGGCTGGAGTATGTTACATTTATTCATTAAAAATAATGAAGAAAAAAAAGCAAATCTTCCTGAAGAGGGAAAAACTAAAGTGCTGAAGGTAATGTGTAGTGGTATAATAAAGAGTTTGCTCATTACAATTGTTTTAAATTTATGTTTTCCACATTTTATTTCAGATCATCAAATAAATTTAAACATTAGTCAAAGATAACACAAGTAAACACATCATGCAGTTTTTAAATGAAGGTTTTTATTATCAAGGGAAAACAAAATCCCAAACTGTGTAAAAAAAGGGATGAAAATGACTTTACTTCACTGTATATGCCATAAAGTGTCATATCACAGAGAAAAGTCATGGTAGGACATTCTAATTCAAGAACTCATTGTCAAAAAGGAAACAAAATATGTATTAAAAAAAAAAGCATAGATGAGTTGTACCCAATAAGTCAAGTAGTAAAACAGTGTCAGTTGTGATTTAATAATCTGGGATATATGCATTTTGTCATGATGACCAATAACAGGGTGTATGCAGGGTGTAAAAGGGTAATAAATAGGGATGCACCGATATTAATTTTTGGCCGATACAGATAACCGGTAATTCTTCAGACTTGGAGGCCGATAGCCGATATGTATAGGCCGATTATCATAAATATTTCAAATTATTACAATTTTATACTTCAAACTTCATAAAAGTTTGAACTGCTCTTATGAACTGAATAGCCTACACACAAAGCAAAAAAGCTGTAACTTCAAAATTGCAAGGTGATTATAGACCTATATTCATGATTTCACATAAATCAGCATGCAAAAAATTATTTCCTTTTCTTCATTGCAAATTAACATGCAAGTTGATTGTTGCATAAAAATAATAGTTTAAATAACAAAAATGGTATTTAATTAACAAGCAAGTTAAAATTATTTAAATAAGATGAAAATGAAAGAGCTAAGGACTGAAACCAGCTCAAATGGTCATGAATAAAACATGTTACAGGGATGTACACATGTACAAATATGTCATGCCTGAAAAAGCCTTTATCAGAGGTGTTTTGACAGTTTAGAGCCACCGTACAAGCCAACAGCTAAATATATAGTACGTTTAGAAACTGCGGCACAGATTCATCCTATTTGGCGTTTTAACATATCACATGTAGGAGCTGCTTGTCAATCAGATGCTTCTGCGCTCGTTCTTGCCATCAATCGCGGGAAAATGATCGATGAAAAGTTTATGATAAACCGCTGAGAGTTTTACTCAACTGTAGAGGTAGAGTCAGATTTTGATACAAAACCTGCATTGAGCTGACTTTATGACAAACACACAGCAGAATATAAAGACAGAATGAGCGGCTAGTTAAGAGCCCCTTTGACTGGATTCACCTCTCGGATCGATAACAATAATCTTAAAAATAGCGTTTATTGGCCAATAACGATATGGCCGCCGATATATCAGCATCCCTAGTAGTAAATGAAATTAGCCAAAATTAAGGGTATTAAAAAGTATTAAAAAGTAATAACCGTCATCTGACGAAGTATTAAATCTTTGAGTCCAACTTTTAAGATACATTTTCAATTTGTTTTAAGTGCAGGCCTTTATTCTAAAATGTCAGTGGATTTATTTATATGTTGAGAGTCGGACCTGAGCGATATCATGTGAGGGGGTTTTCATTCGTGCGCGCTGAAACAAACTAGGTACCCGGCTGGCTTGCTGCCAGCCATATAGGCGACCTCTGGCTGGAGGACTCAAGATTTAAAGACTGGCTTAGGCCTGTAGTTGGCAACAGCCACGAGGCATATTGCCACATCTGCAAGAAGACGATTAGCATAACCTGGCTTGCACACACAACACGCAGTGCTTGCACAGCGGTTTATTATAACACTTTTATGGATAATTTTTTCCCGCAATTGACAGCAAGAACAAACATAGAACATAATTATGTTCAAAAGAATTTAAAACGCCAAATGGCATGAAATTATACCCCATTTCGAAAGTAAAACATGCTCTAATAGGTAGTACAGTGTGTGGGTGAGAGGGGGGCAGTGTTTCAATGGGATCCGGTCATGTTATGGTTCTGTGACTGCTGGTGTTGGTTGCTGTATGGTTAACAATTCTGACTGTTAAAGTAACTAGGTTAATTTTAATTTAAACTATTAAAAACAAATAAAATATTAAACTATTATTTGGGCGTTTTTTGTGTGGTTTTGGGTGTGTTTTAAACAGCTTTTGGGCTGGAAATAGTCTGCTTTATCTGGCAACACTGGTGGTAGCTTGGCAACAGAGCCGCAAAGTCAGCATACAGAATCTATCTGCACAGTTCAACACTGTTGTCTAACCGTGCTGAGAATTCTGAGCCGAGAACGGTTTGTAATCGTGCTGTGCCGTTCCAAGCCCAGTGGAGAAACTATCGTAACCGTACCGAACTGTTCTTAGGAGAGCAGCTATTGACATTGATGACATATAAGACATTGATTAAAAACTATGGACAAAGGCCCATTGTGACATCTTGATTAATCCCTCTGCTTTACTTAAATGTATACGTATCAGCAATATGTTATTCCATTTTTAAAGACATTTCATTTACGTCACTACAGTTGCAGCTCTAAGTCGTGCTGGTATAAAATTTTTTCTTAAAGGTATTAAAAAGGTAGCAAAAAGTATTAAATTTAACTTATGAAGTTCTGTATATAGCCTGAATAACTTTCTTGTCTGGACTGATATGTAAAAATAGAATGCTCTCATATTCTGTATCTAGAAACAGCAATACTTGCATCTGGTAATATAGTTAAGGCATTAGCTAACATGAACTAACAATGAGTACGTTTACATGGACACCAGTAATCTGATTTTAACAAAATAAAGACAATACTCTGATTAAAACTCTACCATGTAAACAGTGCTTTTTAAAATAATTTAATTCGATTAAGGTCACAATCGAACTAAACAGAAATCGTATTAAGATGTGGAGTATGCCAATTTTAGTTGCATTATTGAAATGCAGAACAGACATAAATGCCGCAATCAAACTATTACCATTATGTAAGACTTTTCACCTTGTTTAGGGACAGATATTCTATACACACATGGCTTTTTGACACTGTTCTCTGCACCTACCGAGTCAGTTATAGACCTCAGACTCCTGCATCGCATAATGCGGAGGATTTTTTTCATATAAGGTGTGTGATATCAAATTCCATTAAAACTACACTCTTTCATCAGTTCATACTCTCATCCAATATCTTGTTTTGTTTTGTTTTTGTCACGGGGGGCATGCATGAAATGTTACTGAATGAAAGTGAAAGTGCCAAGCTGCAGTTCAATTCAACAAATTAAAAATGAAACACCCGAAACCACATAAAACTCCAGGGAAAATATGAATGGCGTGCTGACTTAATGACGTTAATCAAATGATGTGCTATAACATGTAAAACGGGATCATGAAAGGAACATTTAAAAAGCTTTATTCAGATTAAGGCAAATAATTTGATGTCCATGTAAACGTAGTCAATGAACAGCATATATTTTATAGCATTTGTTGAAATTCACCATAGTTAAAGTTAATAGTACATCAGTACAATAATGGATGTAAAAAAATACAACTCTGCATTTTAATGATGTGTTAGTAAATGTTGAAACATACTTTAGTTAAAGCTATATTTTTACAAAAATAATAATAAAAAAAAATTATTATTCAAATAACATGGGTAGCTAATAACTCCTATCCTAAATGAAACCTTATTGTAAAGTGATAATCTACAAACTTTGTTTAAGCTTTCACATTCCTAAGACCTCTTTTCTGTGCTCTTGGAAATAATATTTCTTCTTTTATACATTTATACAGTGGAGGTCGTGTAATTAAAGTCTCAGGCCATAACTTGGATGTGGTACAAAAACCTCGGATGCGAGTGACGGTGTTCCCAACAGACTCCATTTCCACCTGGAAAAAACAAAGACGAAGGAGAAAAACTAGAAGTACAACAGATGTGGAAGTGCTGGAAACTGACTGTACAGGAAACACACACTGTTCTGTCAAACAGGTGATTTTTTTATTCACTTCAATTAAACCCACACATATAATTAATTCTCAAAATATTATTATCATTATTTATTTTTTTTAGAAAACTGCATGAACTCAGATAAACTGTTTGTTATTAGATTATTCAGAGATACTTTATGAGCTATTCATTTTTATTTTATAAACTGTTTAGATTCCATCATGAAAATAGTGAGTTGGTATTGTTTTGTTGTTACTTTATTGTCTGTTGAACATTTAATAATTTAGCAGTTAAAAATTCTGAAATACTTCCCTATATAAAAAACAGGTTTAAGATTAATCAAATGAGTGTTATTTTGTTGACTCTCTACACACAGTCTTTTTCTAATGTTTTCATTTTTTCTGTAGTTTGAAGAGCACTGTGAGGTGCAGACCTCCTCTCTGTTATTGTGCTGGACCCCTGGTGTAGATGCTGAAGTACTCAGCGGAAATATGCACGTTGAGTTTCTGTTGGATAATTTACGCTTTGACTTTAACTCTGTCAGTCAGTCACCTTTCACTTATAAGCCCAACCCAATCCTCCATCCGCTGAACCATCGAGATCCCACAAAGCCATATCGCTACAAACCTGGATCGGTCATATCAGTGGAGGTCAGTGGGGCTTTTATTATTGCATGTTTGACATTTATAAGATTTAGGCGACAAATTTACTAAACAGGGCAAATTTGCACAAGAGTGAAATTCGAAAATGGCACAGATGACACCGAGCAAATTTTAGAACATAGATACACTACCTGACAAAATTACTGTCGTCAATGCCAGTTGTAAGAGCAACAAATAATAATTTGACTTCTAGTTGATCATTTGGAAAAGTGGCAGTAGGTTGCTTGGACCCAAGATTCTTACAAAAATCAGCCATTTTTGGTGAAAGAAAAATCATGGTTTGGGTTACGTTCAGTATGGAGGTGTGCGAGAGATCTGCAGAATGGATGGCAACATCAAAAGCCTGAGATATCCAGACATTTGTGCTGCCCATTACATTACAAACCACAGTAGAGGGCAAATAATTTCCTTCTCATACTTCAGCCTCCACATCAAAGTTTCTAAAAACTAAGAAGGTCAAGGTGCTCCATGAATGGCCAGCTCAGTCACCATATATGAACATTATTGAGTATGTCTGGGGTAAAACTGAGGAGGCATTGAAGATGAATCCAAAGAATCTTCTTGATGAACTCTGGGAGTTCTGCAAGAATGCTTTCTTTGCCATTTCAGATGACTTATAATAAGTTATCGCTTGATGCAGTTCTCCAAGCTCATGGGAGTCATACACAATATTATTTCTTTTTTCACTGCTCCATGACTTTACATTCTATACTGTACATTATTTCTGTTAAGTGACAAGACTTTTGTCCAAGCAAAGTCAGACCTTACTGTATTAATTAAATAATAAAAAAATCTAGGCATGATTATAATTTATTTTGGTAAAATAAGCTAAATCTAGAGGCCTTTGCCGTTCAGATAAGCTACTTTTAATAGCAAATGATCAACTAGAAGTAAGGTTACTATTTGTTGCTCCAAAAACTTGAATAGATGACAAGACTTTGGTCAGTTAATGTAATATCTGATTTACATATTGACCAAAACAGTAAGTGCAACACAAGTTAGCATAATGACAAATGAGCAGAGCTGATGCTATTAAGGTCCAGATGATCTATTATGACAAGGTACAGTGCACATTTTTTATTGGTTATCATTTTATTTAGAGTTATTTATTGGCCAAAGAATATTCATTTTAATGAAATGGAGAAGCTTAATGTAAATGACCTCAGGACAATGACAAAAGTAACAAATTTTACATGCAAAGGTGAATGACTTTTGAGCTGGACAGTACTCATGTGCTCAGTTTAAACAGCTTATGTTTATTTACAGTGAGTCATTTCCATTTTTATTTACATGAAATCCAGATGATGTACTTTTAACAGGCAAAGAGAACAGATCGCACAATGTCTGAGGGAACTAAGATTGCGCTGGTATTACAACGTTACTCACCCTAGTTCCAAGTCATCTTTTAATTCCTAAAGCAAATGCCACACATTATCTGTTCTCTGCAGTGCCTCCTTCTGGCAACAAAAGCAGTCATTTCAAGTGCAACATGTTAGATGTGTTTTTTATAGCGGTTAAATGATGTTATTATGTTGAAACACTATATATAAATTTTTTAATGTAATCACAATCAACATTGATTGGTTTCAGTGTGCTTAAATGCTCAAAACACTTCAATCTTATTGTTCCGTCACAGCATTTTCTTATATAGAAGTTATTCATTGTATTGTAAAAAACCTCAGGGTGCTGATCACTAATTAATAAATTACTATCGGTGACACGGTGGCTCAGTGATTAGCACTGTAGCCTGACAGCAAGAAGGTCGCTGGTTTGAGTTCCGGCTGGGTCAATTGGCATTTTTGCGTTGAGTTTGCTTTCTCTCCTTGTTCGTAGGGGTTTCCTCCGGGTGTTCCGGTTTCCCCCACAGTCCAAAGACATGCGCTTTAGGTGAATTGAGTAAACTAAATTGGCCATAGTGTATGTGTGTGAATGACTGTTTATGGATGTTTCGCAGTACTGGGTTGCAGCTGAAAGGGCATTCGCTGTGTAAAACATATGCTGGATAAGTTGGCGGTTCATTCTGCTTTGGAGATCCCTGATGAATAAAGGGACTAAGCTGAAGGAAAATGAATGAATGAATGAATAGATTACTATAATATATGTTGTGCACAGTTTGCCTTGTAATTTTTATGCAAATTGCTACGTTAATGTACATTATACATTGAGATATATACTTATAAAAATGATGTCACAAACATAATAATCTGGACAGGGTGTGTTTTTTAATAATAAACTGCTGACTGTACATAATTTACCATATGTCATGTTAAAAACTTGTGTCTTTTTAACTTTTTTTTCTTTAGGGTGAGAATTTAGACTTTGCCATCTCCAAAGAGGAAGTAGTAGCACTGATTGGTGAGGGCGTTTGCACTGTTAAAACTCTGACACATAATCACCTTTACTGTGAGCCTCCGTCCCAGCAACCCCCCCTCTCCCTCAGGCATGGACGCAAGCGAGAGGGAGCTGAGGCCTTTCCAGAGTTTATAGTAAGCATGAAACCAAATCCCTCACAACACACAGTGATTGCCCCTGGAAAAAAAACCTGGCAGCTAAAGCATTAGCTGCTGCTCTATTGACACTGTAGGCTCTATTTTAACGAGCTAGGTGCAAAATTTAAAGCGGATGGTGCAAAAAGGACTTGTCCGAATACACTTTTGCTGTTTTATATGTAAATTTGTATTTTTAATTGCAATAAATGCATTTAGATGCTATTCTCAGTGGAAATTTATTTGCACATCATTATTAAGGCTACATTATAAATCAGTGTGCAGTACTACCATATTGAGTGTAAATGAGAATATTTATCAAATTGCTGCTGTCTGATTAAGATAAAGTCCTCTCAACATCTACCCTTAACCCATACCATAAACAATTAAATATCATCTGACATAAGGAAAGGGAATGAGGGCTCTTCAGAGCAAAAGGGGGCTTTTCTGAATTGTGTTTATATATATATATATATATATATATATATATATATATATATATATATATATATATATATATATATATATATATATATATATATATATATATATAAATTGGTGGCTGTTTCTCAATCATGCAAAAAAAAAAAATCCTCTTTACATGACCCTCTATGACGTATTTACATTACTCTCTACGACAAGAGCCAATCAGGTAACATGGTTAAAATCTTACGCAGATACCTAAACGTTTGATGGGCTATACAGTTGAAGTCAGAATTATTAAACCCCCTGAATTATTTTTTCCCCAATTTCTGTTTAACGCATTTCTAAACATAATAGTTTTAGTAACTTTTTTCTAATAACTGATTTTCCCAGAGATGGGTTGTGGCTGGAAGGGCATCCGCTGTGTAAAAATGTGCTAGATAAGTTGGTGGTTCATTCCGCTGTGGCGACCCCAGATTAATAAAGGGACTAAGCCGACAAGAAATTTAATGAATTAATTTCTAATAACTGATTTATTTTGTCTTTGCCATGATGACAGTACATAATATTTGACTAGATATTTTTCAAGACACTTCTATACAGCTTAAAGTGACATTTAAAGGCTTCACTAGATTAATTAGGGTAACTAGGCAGGTTAGGGTAATTAGGCAAGTTATTGTATAACGATGGTTCTGTGGACTATCGAGAAAATATATAGCTTAAAGGGGCTAATAATTTTGACCTTAAAATGGTTTTTAAAAAATTAAATAAACTGCTTTTATTCTAGCCGAAATAAAACAAATAAGACTTTCTCCAGAAGAAAAAATATTATCAGACATATTGTGAAAATGTCCTTGCTCAGTTAAACATCATATGGGAAATATTTAAAAAAGAAAAAAAAATTCTAAGGAGGGCTAAAAATTCTGACTTTAAATGTATATGGTGTACATATCTGATAAATATTTGGTTTAATTTTACTTTTTTATAGCTCCGTATTGTCTTATAGTTTTTAAGATTTATTCAGTGAGCGACTCAACAAAAAGAGCAAAAACTTTTTTACCAATTTGAATAATTTCATGCAATTTATTTCATACGACAGACTTCACTAAAAGTGCACATTCATCTGCTTTTCTGGTACTTAATTTTTTTTTAGTGGGCGTTGTATTGCACAAACTGCTGTGTGACAGTTTGTCTGTCTGTCTGTTTCCAGGTCCATATGGGAAACCTGAACTTTTCGCTGGGTCAAGTGCAGTATGATTCTCTCAGTCACTCCATCTTTCCTCTGGTGGCACAGATTGGGGTTGGAGCAGTTGCTTCTCTGGTTGCTCTTATTGTACTCATCATAGTGTTTATATACAGGTGCGAATACTGTTTAATGTAAGATGATGTGCTTTATACAGTGCTGTGAAATAGTACTCTAAAAAGAATGTAGTATTTAAAAAAAATGTGAAAATGCAGCTATTTGATCTGAATTTCTAGATAAAGAGATGTACATTGTGTTTTCATGTTCTCTCATTTCTCTTCCACCCAGGAGAAAAAGTAAACAGGCTCTGAGAGATTATAAAAAAGTTCAAATTCAGCTGGAGAATCTAGAGACAAGTGTGAGAGACCGCTGCAAAAAAGAGTTTACAGGTAATTTGGGTATATTTAAGATTAGATTTCTAATGATTTAAAAGGGGTTGCGAACTAAATTGTTTTATTACAGTGTAAAAGTGCTGAGTTCCACACTATCAATTTGTGTTGGGGCAACATGAAGGAGTTAAGTTAACTTGTTAGTTTTTTACAGGTTTAAGTGGATTGAACATAACACAATTAAAGGGTCACGAAAAACCAAAACACATTTTTTGAGATGTTGACAGTCATATATGTGTCGCACGCTGCTATAAACACTGTTAGGACACATATATTTCACAAAAAAAGTGAAAATTTGTTGTTTTTGCATTAATTTGAGCAAATTCGTTTTCCCAGTTTGAAACTAATTTTTGAAGCTGCATCACAGTGATTAGATCCTTGCGTGTATTCCAGCGTGGAGAGTGGATGTCTGTACCAGTGTTACGGTTTAACTGGTGGCTGTGTTAGTTGTTTGAACAACATAGTTGTTGAGTGTACGCTAAGCTTTGCATTTGATAATAATATTTTACATTAAAAAACATCTGAACCAAAAGTGTCTTTCTCATATGTTCTGAGATCTTTTTCCTAATGTTACATTGTATTTGCACTGGACATAGTCAGTTCAGCATGACTAGAGACTATAGAATATATTAAAAGTAGTAATTCTGTCTACACTGAATGCACTCAAAAAATTGCCTTTGCTGCTTGTATTACTTATATTACATGAGTTGAAACAAGGGGCGAAGCAGTGGTGCAGTAGGTAGTGCTGTTGCGTCACAGCAAGAAGGTCGTTGGGTCGCTGGTTCGAGCCTTGGCTCAGTTGAATTGTAAGGTAAATTGTCCGTATTGTATGAGTGTTTGTGTGAATGTGTGTGTGGACGTTTCCCAGAGATGGGTTGCGGCTGAAAGGGCTTCCGCTGCGTAAAATCTTGCTGGATAAGTTGGCGATTCATTTCGATGTGGCGACCCCTAATTAGTAAAGGGACTAAGCCGAAAAGAAAATGAAAGAATGAGTTGAAACAACACATTTTTTAAAAGGCCATGAAACCCCCCTTTCTCAGCAGGGCATTTTCACACCTCTAGCTTGAAAAAAGTCAGGAAAGTGGGTGAGTCCAGCTTTGTTTAGGTGGGAGTGTCGAGTGGCCAAAGAGGAAAGGGTTTGCATGAAAAAGGGAATTTCATTATGTCCACACGCTGATTTTCACAGCAGCAACTAAAACACCGCTACAGGGGAGATAGACAGTGATTCGGAGAGCAGCATTTACAGCTTAGCTGAGAGTTGTGTGGAAGTGGAGGATTTTCAGTCCATAATATTGTAGTGATATTACTGTAAATCTAGTAACTAAATCATTTTGACTAAAGTATGTCTTTAAAAAACTGAAAGAGCACTGCTGACGATACTAACTAACTTTGCAATCTGAATAAACATAAACAAAGAAAATTGATCACACACTTACCAAATCTATGGAGACAGGACAGTCAACACCAACCAGAACTGTGTCTTTTTTTCAAAGAAGACCAGTGACAAATCTAAATTTCACCATTTCAAATTTGTAAAATTGATTGTTTAACTTAATTGATTTGTGTTGGGACAACATAAAGGAATAACGTGGAACTCAGGATTTTTTACAGTGTGTGTATGATGCAAGAAATAAACTGATTTCTGGTATTTCCCTTACATCTCTATCATTTTGAGGTTATAATAATAGAAACAATAGGTTACAAGAGTGTATTCAATTGTTCAAAAGAACAAACATGCTTAATTTTTTTTTCACAGTGCCATGCAAAAAAATATACAATTATTAATATAATCTAATAGTGAAATACAAAGTGTCTTTACACAGCAATGACTGCTCAGAAACCAAACCTGAAAAGGTGTAAATTCAATTAATAATAAATATATATATATATATATATATATATATATATATATAATTTTTGGACATTTTTACCAATATTTGATAGGACATTAGTATGGCAGAAAATGAAGTTGGAGAGAGGGGGAGAGGGTCGGGATTGGGAAAAGTCGGCGACCAAAAATTTGGATTTACACAAACCGCTTAATCCGGCAAAGCGTCTTTACACTGAATTCTGAGCAGACAGACCATCTTAATGGTGTAAAGATGACTCACTATGTTAGTTTCTCCAGTGTAAAGCTGACCTGTGATAATTGTACATCTGACTCTTAAACCTTCTCAGACCTGATGACTGAAATGATGGATGTGACGAGTGATCTTGTGGGATCGCGGATCCCTTTCTTGGAGTACCGCATGTATGCTGAGCGCATCTTTTTCCCTGGACACCGCGAGTCTCCGCTTCGCAGAGACCTTGATGTGCAGGAGTGTCGGCGGGCCACGGTGGAGCAGGGACTCATTCAGTTATCTAATCTCCTAAACAGCAAACTTTTCCTCACAAAGGTACTTAAAGTAATACTATTGTCACTGTTGATCCATGTTTAAGCTGTATCTGAAATCGCCGCCACACACTTATTTCTTGTATTAGTCCACTATCAGAGTCCACCTAAAGGAGTGTATTAAAACAAGTGAGTGAATTTGAACACTGAGGTGGATTTCTAGTAGTCGTAGCAGCTAGAAGCGGTAGTTGCTGTACACATTGAAGAATTTACAAATCATTTTAACAAAGTTATCATAATTATCATAAAAACTGCATTGCATGTACTTAATATAATAATAGTAGAAAACCCTAAAACAAGACAACAGTATGCATTCCTACAGTAAGGACATGTTATTAATTAATTAATATTATTCCCATACTCTGTACAACACAGATGTACACATGCAATGACAAAATAACTGAATTTATAAACAATTTACACATTTTCAAAGTTTATGGGCACTTCATCCTTTGTAAATTTCATTTACACTTCATTTCAAGTGTAAATGCAGTTAATTAATCAACGTTTTTGGGACATCCTGTTGCATTATATGTTGGTGCACTAACCACTATAAATTTAAAATAAAACAAATTACCCAAGGATAATATGACAACAGTCTAGCTTATATTAAATTTAAAGGTGCAGTAGGTGATTGTCCTCAAAACCATATTTTGTTGTGCTGGTTGAATGCCTCTTCACATTCCAATAGTAATGATTAAAGTAAATGATCTAAATTAATTTATATGTATTTTATATGTATTCTGGGTAAGGCATCAGACTAAAACATGTGCATCTAATTTAAAAGTGTCGGGTCAACATTTCCCTTAATTCTAGTAAGTAGCTTATAATGCCTGTCAGCAAATTTAGATTTTGAGGTACTGCGTACCTGTTTCACGCAGATCCGCCTTTTGTGCGTACACGCGCTGTGGGTTCAAGTGCACAAGAGAGAGAGAGAGAGCGCGAGAGCTAAAAACATGCTAAACCAAAACTTTTTAAAAACCTGAATCAATATTGGAGTTGTTTTTGCATGCTGGAGGAAGGACAGCACCATGGCTGAAGTATTTTTTTAGACAGGTTTTGTTTTAAAACTATTTTAGCTTAACGCAAAGCTGATGTAGATGTTGTTGTTACAGTGGGTTATATGCAAAGAAGTGTTGTTCAGCCACTGAAAACTTCCGGCGATAAATTGTTGTGACTATTTTCAATTTCATAAGGGACCTTTTACAGCATCAATATCGTAGATTTTATTTAGTTTAACAACAAAACATCAGTAAATAGCGCTATTCTGCCTAGCCTGCTTCATTGAGGTGAAGTTGGTTTTATATTCACATCACATTGGTTAATTTTTGAACAATGACAACCTGTGACGCACTCCCTATATTGTTTAGCATGCTACTCTGAATATTCGGTCTGAAGTAGCATATAAGTATGATTTAGTAATAAGGGGAGGGACTGTTTCAAAGATTTAAGCTAACCAGTTAGCATTGTGGCAGATCGCCTACTGCGCCTTTAATGTCAAACTCAAGTAAACATCCCTGTTCAATAATTTAGCATCAGTCAGCACAAAGTAGTTTTTAAACTCATTTGATTTACACATCAAAGTCTTTAATCATGTAAATTCTCACGTAAAATGTGTGTATCACCAGAAACTATTCTTTTCCTCTTACATTCCATGATTCATTTTTAAAACATCAACTTAGGATGACAAAAGTGTATCAAACTTATTTTGCCTACTAAGAAATGTTTATATTTCCTATAGCTCCTGAAGGGTTGTGCTAAATTAGAGAATAAGACCTTTAACTCTTTACTCACTGAAATATTGCTGGCAAAATCCCTGGAGATTATTATAAAATGTTTTAACTTTATAACTTTACTGTATGAAATTTAGCATCAGATAAAGGGTTAAACAAAAAACTTTTCTTTTAAAACTATTTTTTTATCACTCAGAATTATACATAATCTGGTGTTTCCTTGTTTTGCATCATATTTACACCTTTTTATAATAGTTTTTTATTTTATCCATGAAACAATTCTCTAACTTCACTTAATGGTATTTTGTTTCACCTTTTCATACCCATTCTTTCTTGTAGTTTATCCATACTCTTGAGAGCCAGAGGACGTTTTCACCCAGAGACAGAGGATATGTGGCTTCTTTGCTCACCGTGGCTCTTCACAGTAAGCTGGAGTACTTCACTGACATCCTCAAAACATTGCTGAATGATCTGGTGGAACAGTACATCGCCAAGAACCCTAAACTCATGCTCCGGAGGTAAGAGTAATGAATACACTGATGCTAGAAGCTGCCATTTATAAATATTTACTGTTTTTTTTTACAATGACTGTATGATTGAGGCTATAATTCTCTTCTCAGAACTGAGACGGTAGTGGAAAAGCTCCTGACTAACTGGATATCCATCTGCCTATATGGCTTCTTAAGGGTGTGTATGAAATGGCTAGGATTGGTATTGTTTGTAATGTGTGTATTTACAAAAATTTTAACCAGCTGATATGTAGATGCGATTTAAAAGTATTAAGCAAGTATGTCAATCTCTTTTTGAATTTTATTCAAATATTTTCCAAGTGATGTTTAACAGAGCGAGGATATTTCACAGTAGGACGTTTTCCTAAACATTTTTTTTTCTTCTGGGGAGTATTTATTATTATTATTTATTTTTTTTAAAGTTTGGCTGGAACAAACTATTTTAAAGTCAATATTATTAACCCCTTAAGACTTTTTTTATAACTTCAGAACAAATCAATGTCCAATGATTTGCCTAGTTAACATAATAATCTACTTAGGTCTTTAAATTTCAATTTGAACTGAATACTAGTATCTTGCAAAATAAGTAGAATTTAGTAGGATAGAAAATATTATGCCCTGTCTGTCAACATGGCGGAATAAATTAGGGGGCAGAGGAACACAAAGTAACACGTTTTGGTTGTGGCAAAACAATGAACAAAGTAGTAGGGTTAGACAAACCATATTTTTATCAACAACACACAATCCTCTCCAACAAATAAGCACTGGTTGTATGATCGCCTGACCTATGGTTTCTGTGCAGTATTGCCAAAAGTGCCAGGAGTAAAATTTTACTATTTACCCAACCTGTCGGGCAAGTTGTAACAGAAAGAGGGTTAGTTGTAACACATGCTTAAAAAGTCAGATTTTACACAAATAATTTAAATTCAGTTTACTTTAAATAGTGTAAAAAACTGAAGGGTTCTTAACTATGTTGATCCAGAACCCCAGAGGCAAACTGGAAGTAAAAATACAGAGCGGAATCAGTTCATGGGGAAAACTGGATGAGTTTCAAACTTGCTCATAAGCTGATGCTTGATTATCTAATTCCAATTGTATGTAGTCAATCTAGGGCCATATATACTAGCAAAATAAAAGAAAGTTTTTTAAACAAAAAAAATTTTTATAAAATTTTTTAAAAGAATTAAAATATAAATTGAGGGCTAATAATTTTAATTTCAATTATAAATAATCTCTGGATACCAACCAAAGTGCACAATATTGTGTATAAAAACAATTAAATAAAATAATGCTACATAATACAGACTTGACTGAAAACCCAGAATGTTCTTTTGTCGCTCCAATTTTGGCTTTTTAACTGAATAGATTTGAGACGTGTTGTGTAAATGCCATGTTTTATTGGGATTGTATTTCTGCTCTCTGTTTTCAGAATTCAGCTGGTGAGTCTCTGTACATGCTCTTCAGAGCCATTAAGCACCAGGTGGATAAAGGACCTGTGGATGCAGTGACAGGCAAAGCCAAATACACCTTAAATGATAACCGCTTGCTGAGAGAGGATCTGGAGTACCGCACTCTGGTTAGACTTTTTTTTTAAACAAATATTTTTATTATACACACTGTTAGACCTTACTGGGTTTTTTTACAGTAGAACACTGGCAACACTGTTGCCAGCCACTCACTGTAAAAGTTCGGTTACAGTAAGTAACTGGCAACGGTGTTGCCAGTTAATTACTGTAACTGAACCATTACAGTGAGTGGCTGGCAACAGTGTTGCCAGTTAATTACTGTAACTGAACCATTACAGTGAGTGGCTGGCAACAGTGTTGCCAGTTTTTTACTGTAACTGAACCGATACAGTGAGTAGCTGGCAACAGTGTTGCCAGTTAATTACTGTAATAGAGCAGCAGTGGTAACTAACTGGAAACTGTACAGTTAATTACTGTATTGTAGTGTTACAAATCACAGCATTATACTGCATACAAATGAATAGTATGTCATATATAGTTATTGTAGTGTTACTAAAATTAATCAGTATTCTTAGGTGTTATTTAAAAATAGAAGGCATATTATTTTTTAGACAAATTTATTTTATTGTTTTGGCACCAAACAAATAAATAACAGAAAAAGTATAACAAAATTAAGAAATCAGCAGATATAAATATTGTCTTGCATATTACAGGTCTGCACAGTAAGGCTGCGGTCACATTAACGTTTGAGCATGCAAAATTCTGTCATACTGCACTGCGAAGTGGAATTAAACAAAGCGAGTAGTGGAATTAAACTAAATAATTAGAGATTGAAAAAGCAAGCCAGAGAGGTCATGTTTTGATCTTTGATTGGTCTCAAGCAATCACATGATGTGATTTCGCATGTCAGCGTTCTCCAAGCTTGATCTTTCCAATGCTGCGAATTATGACATTTGTCGCATGAGCTATCATTCCAGGTCTGCAGTACTCACATGCGTATGAATGGAAGTCTATAGGGAGAAAAGTGCAGTGTGACCGGGACTTTAAGCTGTAACTCTAATTCAACACACCTGATCAAACTAATTAAGGCTAGTTAGAAATCTACAGGTAATGTTGAAGCAGGGTGGGTACTAAACTCTGCTGCGCTGCAGTTCTCCAGGAACTTGGAGTTTGACCCCCATGGTATATAGCAGGGGTGCTTAATCCTGTTCCTGGATATCTACCTTCCTGCAGATTTCAGTTGCTACCCATATCAAACACACCTGCCTGTAATTATCAAGTGGTGTTCAGGTCCTAATTAATTGGTTTAGGTGTGTTTGATATGGATAGCAACTGAAATCTGCAGGAAGGTAGATCAGCAAATAAACAGCAAAAAACACAACATAATTATTTTAAATTTTAAAGTTTTAAATAATTAAAAACTGTGTCAAATCTCAATAAAAAGTTTAAAATAATTATAAAAAATAAAAATAAAGTTGGCAACACCGAAAAACCAAAGGATCCAATCTTTTATTGTTATAATTATCTCATGACAACAAACTTTTTTATTGTTTCTAATATAAATTCATAGGTGGAAACACAGCTCTGAAAAATACTTAGCAACAAACTCACAACCTGGGACTGGACAGGGGAGCTTTTGTGTGTGGATAACTATGTGTATCATGTTTTTGTGATTCCCTGTGATGATGTGCACATGTTACCTTACTGAGATGATGGAATTTAATTTTGGCTTAGTTGCCAGAAAGATACATACAACTGTTAGCATCTGTACATTATGGCAGTGTGCAATATAAAATAAATACATATTCTTAAACAAAAGTAATGTAAGAAGTTATATGAGGAGAGGCTAACTAGCTAACAATGTAGCTTTCAATTACACAGTTCAAGATAACAACAATATAACTTAAAACACAGCCTTATTTTAGAAACCCTCAAAAACATTTGAACACATTTTACTTACTCATTGTAGATTCTTATTTTAAGCCTAAAACAGTTCAGACTCTATATCTGAATTGATGGACAGAGAATAGAGCACACTCAGCAGTAAACAAATCAAACACCTGGCTCCCTTAAAGGGCCAGCATTTTCTGAAAAATCTTTTTTAACACCTTTGTGTTTAGAATAAGACAGACAGCCTGTGGGAGTGTGTGGTGATGCCTAAATCATTATTTTCTGCCTTTAAAATGCACGTCTCTATAAAAAGCAACATGAACCGTCAGAGAAGATGGGACAGTAATGGTTGAACAGTAATTTGCTATTTATTGTCAGTTACTTTCTGTAATGAGTACATAAAGTAAATTACTGGTTATTATTCTTTGCACTACACAATTTCATACAAATTCTACTCCTTTTACAGTAAAATAATATGTGTTAATAAATAATAAATGTTTCCTTTTATTACAGCAAAACACTGGCTATTTTACACTTATTTACTGCACAATCTACAGAGTAAGAGTGCAGTTATACTAATTAAGCACACCTGATCAAACTAAATCTAAAGGTAGTGTGTTGAAGCAGGGCTGGAACTAAATTCTGCTGGGCTGCAGCCCTTCAGGAGTTCGACATCCCGTGTACCTAGCATATTTTCAAAGGAATTGCCTACATTTATCACAATCATGCACATATCATTGAATAAAAACAATAAAAATATAAAAACTTCATCCAAAGCAAATAAATAAATAAATAAATAAATAATCTCATCCTCATGTTGTTCCAAACCCGTAGTAAAAATTATAATAATAAAACAAATAACCTGATTAATACATTTATTTAGGAAAGTCTTTATACTATACTGTTAATGCCATTTTTACCTACTTCATTTGAAGTTTTCCAAACAAATTATTTAGTCTCTGCAAAAATGTATGTACGTGCTGTTTAAGAATTTTTTTAAATAACACATTTTTATTTAGCAAAATACTAATATTCAGCTTAAAGTGCAATTTAAAAGCTTAACTATAGGCTAAACTAGGCTAATTATATTAATTATAGAAAAGTAAACAAAGTTATAAAAATGATTGTGATAATTTGGTTGCTCTGTGTGAATATTTTTGCCTTTAAATGCATCTCGTCGATATCTTTACCTTTTAATTAGCTCTGTGACATTGACATTGGTTGACTCCTGATACTCAATGTTAAAAACATAAAGGGAACCAAAGAAAACACAGAGATGGCTGCAGAGAAATTTAACTTATCATCAATGCATTGTCTCACTTTCTCCTCAATACTGACCATTCACATACCAAAACTGAACAGTATATATATATATATATATATATATATATATATATATATATATATATATATATATATATATATATATATATATATATATATATATATATATAGCAACATAAAGCATCAGAGTACATGGGGTAATAATGGTTGAGCAGTAATTTACCATTTATTATCACAGTAACTATCTGTAATGGGTACATAAAGTAAATTACTGTAATTTATTCTTTGCACTACACAATTTCATACAAATCCTGCTCCTTTTACAGTAAAATACTGTTTCCTTTTATTACAGCAAAACACTGGCTATTTTACAGTTATTTACTGCATAATCTACAGTAAGGGTTAACAGTGCAGTTAACAAGGTAACAGAGTATACCAACAAACCTCTGTTAAAAACGAAACAAAACTCAATCTTGGCTTACTACTAAAGTAAAGTAATATTATTAACTAATTAATAAAGTGTGTAGCGGTATACATATTCATACTGAAAATGTGTGCATAGAATAGAAAAAGAATGAACAAACTGTGAAATTTTAAAGAACAAGTCCTGAGCCTTGAGGTTTTTGACTATGGTTACATCTCAGCAGGGGTGTAGCAACCGGGGGGATGGGGGGGGGAGGGGGTACGTCCCCTTCACTTTTAGGCCCCGTTTACACTAGTGCGTTTTAGTTTTAAAACGGCGTTGTAGAATGAAAATGATCCGCGTCCACACTCGCGTTTTACCCAGCGTTTCTGAACTGCTCTCCGTCCACACCAAAACGCTGAAAACGCACATCACGTGACCACACACACACTCTCGGGCAAGCGCTCCAGCATTTCTACCCAGATGAGAGCTCTGCTTGTCGGACTGCTCATCAAGCATCTCCCGCTGGATCTAATCTCACTATATTTGCTAAACGTGATATTTCATTCATGTTGTTGTCTTTATCTAACGACATAGGCCAATTCCCTGACTTTGGTCATTGGAATCTATTAAGTTACTTGTTCACGGGTAACATGTTTTGGTTAAGCGCAAAGATAAGTTAATGATTAATCCAGGTACATTGACTGATTGATTGCCTTTATCCTACAATGTATAAACTTATTGTATGTTATACTTTTATAATTATCGATTATTAAAACTGATATTCAGCAAAAGAGAGGCTGTGTTTCGTATTTTCACTGAAATTGAAAGGAGGCAGATGTTATAGGCTCCGTTTTGTTATAAATATCCACACAGTGAAGATGACGCTCATATATGCATCACGGCGCCTCAACATTTCTGCTGTTTGTTAAGTTGCTAATATTAAAATGAAATTAGGCAGTTCCTTAAATCATGTTTACATTTTATTGTTGAGAAAGTGAAACAACGTAGCCAAGGTGATGTGAATGAAGTTATAAAGTACACTCTTCCCTTTGAAGATTTACCCGTGTCCTCGGTATGTTTTCCATATCAAACTGGGAAGGGGGAGACTGCAGCCTTGATCAAACTTGCGAAGTCTTAACTTACAAGAAGAGGATGCGAGACTGAACTGTGTGTGGGCTACTTAATATTGAGGAAAAGCCCCAATCAGATAGGCGAACGTTTGCAGCCCCGCCTCCGTTTTCAGATGTCTCCGTCTTTCCCCATCCACACTGAGACGGAGCAGCAGCGTTTTAGAATGAAAACGGCCTCTCCAGCGTTTTCTAAAAGCTCCGTTTTCGGCGCTCGAGAACTCCGGCGTAGTGTGGACGGATGGCGTAACCGTAGCAAAACTTATGCGTTTTCAAACTAAAACGCATTAGTGTAAACGGGGCCTTAGAGACAGACCATTTAGAAACAGGTGATTAAGAATGATAATAAACTTTTGGATTTCATACAGCTGTCCCCCCCACTTTTAAAATGTCCACTACAACCCTGCATCTCAGAATAATTAACATCTCTTGTCTCATGTAATCAATTGATTAGTGTTTACCCCAGGTAATTATTCAGTGTCCAAAGCCACTTAGTTCTGTAGGTCTCTATAGTATAGTTTTCAGTAAATTGGTCTATACAATCACTATATTTTACTTAATATTTGAGTGGTGTTTTAATTATATTTTATGTGTTTTAATAAATCTTCTATGAAAACAAGTTATGAAATACAAAGTGGGAATGTGTATAGTTAAATTTGAAATAAGGTGGAAATATATTTATTATTGCATTTAAATAATAATAAAAAAAAACCTCATCCCTTATGTGCTATTGACATGTTTGCATTACATTTTTATTTGAAATCTTTAGGAAGTGTGAAATAGTTTGAGTCCTGTTTTTTAATTGTAGGCTTTAATATCATAGTAATGTACAAGTAACCAAAATTACATTATTATAGATTTAACATTGTTCTCACTTATCTCTGGAGAAAGCCAATAGGAAAAGTAAATATGTCAACTATACTAGTGTCATTTCTTAATTGGGATTGATCTTAGATTTTTCTGTTTGCTTTTAGATCCTTCAAAAAACACTGTAACACCTCTAAATATGCATTAAACTTGAATGCTGACTCAATTATAGGGTATTTGCCAAAGTACTGTTTCTTCCCATACTGATACACTTCCAGTGAACGGTTAAGGTGACTTTTTTCAATTTTAAACTGTTCCTTTCCTCCAGCATCGATGTTGTAATGTAATTAAAATATAATCAGTTAAATAGACTTCGTCATTCATGTAGTTGCTCAAGCGTAAAACAAGTTGAAAAGATGTTTACACACAAGCGCCTATCAGTATTAGCAGGTTAGCACAGAAGCTCCAGTGAATATACTGGGGTAAAATAAATGTTCATATTTTAAAGACATGGTGGGGGAAAATGTAGTGTAAGGCAGTGCTTCTTGTACAATCTGAAATCCACTTTATACTGGATATCACTCAGCCAGTAGAGATCCCTGATTTTTAAAGAAAACAGACCTTAAACGTGCAGATTTTGTAATGGCACACAGTTCACCGGGAGCACTTGACCCAGGCTACTGACAAATTAAAAGCCCTTCCACATATACCCCATTGTGTTTTACCAAAGTCCCTTTAAGGCAGATCATTTCACTCGACGACATCTTTAAAATGCTTCTCAGGCAGTTGGCTCTTGCATTCTGTTTGAATTTAATTCAAATTTTCCAAAACTGTTTGCCAAGCTTACAATTAAATTTTTTACTTGGAATCACCAAATAAATTAAACAACCACAGTCTTTTTTTTTTTTTTTTAAATAATCGAATCACTCAAAATCTACAGAAACTTTTAAAAACACACATCTGGTCCGAATCCCTCCACCTGGAGAATTGCCAGTGTATAGAGATTGATGATTGGCTCCTCTACTAAAAGGCGGGGCTTTATTTACCATATTGACCATTACACTTTTCAAAACTTTACAAGTGACATGTCTTGTGTCTTCTCTCGTATTTGGGTTTACTTAACAGAGTAGATCAATTAAAGATCTTCTGGAATCCAGTTTTGACCGGAATCAATTGATCGACCGGAATTGTCAAATAAACAGGGCACATACAAGTTTGCTTGTATTAAAAAAACAAATCTCAGTGTTTTTCATTCTTTCTCTCTTTAGACGGTGAACGTCTTGATGCAGGGAATAGGCATGAATGAGGCTCAGCCGGTTGCTGCTAAAGTTTTAGATTGTGACACTATAACCCAAGTGAAGGAGAAGATTCTAGACCAGGTGTACAAGGGCACCTCATTCTCTCATCGACCACATACTGACTCTGTAGACTTGGGTGAGAACAACCCTACATGTCTGCTCTTGCTTTCACATATCAGCTGTATCCTGCTTTTTTCTTTTTTTTCATTGTTTCTTTTCACATTTTTCAGAATGGCGCTCTGGCGTAGCTGGTCATCTAATCCTGTCAGATGAAGATCTAACATCTGTGGTTCAGGGCAACTGGAAACGTCTCAACACGCTCCAGCATTATAAGGTACAACACAATCTTTAAAACACACTATGCTGTTCAACACTCATGCTATTTTTTTTTCCATTTACAAAGCACTGTTTACTATGTATATTGTTACATACAAATAAGTATGCAAATAAACTTAAAGGAACACCCCACCTTCCTTTTGAAAAGGAATTATTTTACAAATTTCTTAGAGTTAAACCACTGACTGTTTTTGAATCAATTCAGCTGATTTCTTGTTCTGGTTGGGTCACTTTTAGCTTAGCTTAGCATAATGAATTGAATCAGATTTGATTATTAGCATTTTGTTCAACAAATAAAAAAAAAGATTTTTAATTATTTTCGTTATTTTCATAGTTACACTGAATAATAAATAAAAAAATAAAATTTTCTAGGACAATATTGCTAGGAACTATATTCTTATTCTGGCGTAATAGTCAAAACGTTCTGCTGTTGTAACATGTCTGCACCAGGCATAATTATGTTATGCAGTGCATGACAATGGGCTACCTTCAGAGCACTGAGAAATGAGCTGAAAGTATTTAAAGGTGCAAGTCAACTGTTAGGAGACTTGTAAAATTTGCCTTTAAAGGGCCATGACACCGTGAGGAGACGCATGAGTTTATAGTTCACAAAGTTAAAATGCAAAGAAAAAAACTGGAATTTAATGCCCTGCTACATTTGTTATTCGTAATTTCATATACAGACAACCACAATTTATATCATTATAAAGATAATCGTGTTCATATAAACACTATAAATGAGGATTCTCCCTCAATCCCCGGGTCTGAATCATAGATCTAAATGCAGACTCAGTGCAGCAGGTTTCCTGACCTGTCTATTTTAACCATTAGTCCAGCTGGTAATCGGAGGATTTAGGCAAACACAGCAGCACGGCGATGTGTCTGAATGTGAATGAACTCCTGATACAAGACAACATCCACCATTCTCCAATTCTCCTGCTGCTCTCCCAACAAAAATGCTTGCATCACACACACAGCTTTGCTGTATGATCAGCCCTGACAGGATCGCGGGGAAACACATGCAACAAACCCCGTGGATCATGGAAACAAACACATACGAGCCTTCATAAATGGCTACTGCGTGCCGTGGGTCCGTGAACCACAGCTTGAGTTTGGCACTGGTCTGGCAGGCCTGCGTCTGCCTTGCCTTCGCGTCAACGCGTCATCATTGCACTTGCGGCACTGCGCTACGTCGCCGATTTTGATCCCTCCCCAAAAATCATTTTAAACCCGGAAGCTGAAATTAGCTGACAAAAGCTCAAAATTATCCAGTTTTCCCCACAATGAAAGCTGCCAGATGCTAACATTGTCTTAACTAATGCTCAACACACACAAATCTGTTAATATATAAAAAAAAGTTCTCCAGGGTGTCCTGAACCTTTAAATGGTTATATCATCTAAAAATGGAAACTTTTATGTCCTTCCAATCCCCTGAGACATTCGTTCATCTTCAGAACACAAATTAAGATATTTTAGATGAAATCCTAGTGCTCTCATCCTTCATAGACTGCAATGGTTTCAAATGTTCAAAGTCCAGAAATGGAACCAAAAACCTTTTCAAAACATTCCATGTCACTTCAGTGGTTCAACTGTAATTATACAAAGCTGCAAAAACACTTTTGTGTGCCAAAATTGTTTAAATAACTTTCTGTTTTCCCATATCTTCTTTCTCAGGTCAGGGTTCACATTTACTATAGGCTATATGACATGTTAGAAATCATCATTAGAGTTAGCAGCGGAAAACGAAAGCATGGTATTGACTATAGTAAAGACGTTGGCAAACAAAATAGTTTTTACAATTTTTTGAACAGTATGAGTTACAGAAAATGTCTTTAAATCTGATCAAATCACTTTTATTGTCACATCATCAGCAGCATGTGTGCTATGATGAGTTCTATAGAAATCTGCTCAATTTTGTATGATATCTAAAAAACAAAGCAAACACATACACATTTCTATCATGAAATTCTATCTGGATGCACAGGCTAATAGGTCCTATTCAGTCTGTATCCAACTACATGGCACAGTTGGTTGTCACCACAGCAGCCAATGATCTTGCTCCTCAACATTTAAATACCTTAGTGTCATTTGGGATAGCAATCTGTAGTGTGTTTTCAGAGACCCCAGCTCCACCTGTGTAGAGCTGCTATAAGGGGTCTCATCTATGTTATGTTTCAGCAGTAGTATGTTCTATTCTCAGACAGCAGATCTGTAAACAAGACACCAGCCACCCGAATCCAATGTATGCCTTGATCCAGAGCACCAGACATCAAGACAAATTTAAAAGTGCTGGTTAAATCTAGGGCAGCATGGTGGCGGAGTGGGTAGCGCTGGATAAGATGGTGGTTCATTCTGCCGTGGCGACCCCAGATTAATAAAAGGACTAAGCCCTTGATTCAATGAATAAATAAATGGGTAAATCTAAATGTAAGTTTATATTTGTAAACATGATAATCTCTCAGAGATGCAGTGACAGGAATTAGAAAAACATAAAGAATTTATTAAAATTAGAAAACATATTCTTATACTATTTAATTGGTAAGTTTATTTAAAAAATGAATTTGATTTGTGTGATAATTTATGAAACACACTTATTTGTGAGTGGAATGAACCAGCAATTAGCTCTGATTATATATTTATAGCTATCGTCCTGTTAATTAATCAATCTTTAACATTTTTGTGAAATTCATTACATTTATTTATAGATCAAAATCACAATTCAAACCCACTATATTTTTAATGGACTTGAGCCAGACAATATAATAACTGACCAAGTCGTCTTGGTGTATGGACAAATCAGGAGCGGTAATGTGTTCATGCCACTTCCCACTCCAAAGTTGTGATCTGTATGCGCAACATTAAACGTTCATATAATCTTCATTGAACCACTTTAAATCTTCGTTTGAGCCATTATCATTAATAAATAACTTCTAATTTGTTTTGGTGTAGAATTCACTTTTGGAAGGTTTCATTGCTTATTGTATAAATCAAACCCCAGTTGTATTTTGTATTGGTGTGAACAAAGATAAATAAAAACTAATGCTTGTTAATTAATGTTGTGAAGTGTTAGTAAGTATAGTCTTTTACTTTTCACTGGATTTTAGGTTCCAGATGGAGCAACTGTTGCTTTGGTGCCACGCCATAGCAAACACATTCACCATGATACCCACGATTACATCGCTGGCGAGAGTGAGTAAAATGGTTATGCACTGTGTTTATGTTCACACATACAGCACTTGATTTTTCGATTAATTTTGAAACTGTACAGTTATGTTAAAAAAGAAAGGCTCTGGTGATAAGTACACTATAGCAATAATCTGAATGCACATGTTCATGTCTGAAGTAAATATACTCAAAAAACAAACAAAAAAGATATGCATGAAACCACTTTAATGTAAAAGTGTCTTTTACAATTAATATAGTATCTAACATTTAGTTTAACAGACTGTCAGTGTGCTTAAACATTACAGTGCTAAGCATATATAAATACAATATATATAAATGAATCTTTTAAATTCATATTTTTAATATGAAGCTATACAATATTATATTCGTGCATATACATTAGATCAGTCAGTACTGAAGCCAAATCTGGAGCTTATCTAACAAAATAACTTACAAAAACAATCCAAAAATGAGTACACCCAAATGTATATGTTATAGAAAAATATTAAATACAAATTTAAAAAAAGAGGAAAAATCAAGAGAACTAAATTTTTTTTCAATTTGTTTAAATTTTGTACTTTTTTGCAACATTTTGCTTGAATGAAATTATTAATGTATTGTCTTTCAATTTCTAAAGATGTTTGGTGACTAAAATATTATTTTAATAAATATATCTGTTCAATAAATCTGTTTTGTTTAAATCCATCAAAATACACTGCCTATATTCACTAAGAAATGGATAACAATATTCATTTTCAAAATGGGATGTACTTAATTTTGCTGAGCACTGTATATCATATAATCTATAACTGATGTTAAGACATGCTAGGAACACAATCAAACCTCAGCATTGTGCAAAAAATGCTATGCAGTGTGTAAGATATGTTAGAAACTTGTTAGCATACATTAAATGAAGCAGCTGCATAGCAACAACCAGGCAACAATTCAATTCAGAACATTTTAGCAGCCACCCCACAAAGAAAATTAATGCTAATTAAAAACAAACTATTCAGTTTCTTAATTTTCCACACTTGGAGAATAGGTACTGCATGACATCCAAATCTACAATGTTTATTTAATCTGTGCAAGTTAAAACTTTATTCAAAAGCGAACCGTTCTTTGTAAGGTAGTCTTTCTCTGATGACATTAGTTTGATGATGTAGGTGAAATATGCTTAGCCATTTCACCCTAACAGTTAGTTTGCTGCAAGTGAAAAAGGAGGAGTGCTTTGATGGAAATGATAATGATTAATGATATATGATTTATTGATATTATTCACCTTTTTCTTCACATATGAGCAGGCATGGCCATTTCAATTTTTTTGGCTCAAGACTTCAGGTCTCATTCATATTCCATTCATTTTTAGACGTTAAAAACAGCTCGATATGCTGCTTGATGTTGCAAACTGATATTTTCTTATTATATAATTCTACTTTGTTTGTATAATCATGCAAACACTTGTTGGTAGAAAAAGCAGTTTGACCGTTTTTTGCGGTTTATTATTCCTAGTCAATTCTCACATACGCCAGTGGTTCTCAAGTGAGGAGTCATGGGACAATGACAGGGGGTTGTTTGGTTATTTACAAAAGTCAAATAAATTTGATTAAACTATTAGAATGACCATATTTTAATCATAACCTACAGAAGATAAAATAGTAGTTTTTAATAGTAAATAAAACAACAACATGCAAATGAAAAGCCATCAGCCATTCAATAATTTTTTTTTTTTAGGATTACATTACATTACATTAACAACACAGCAATAGCATCAGCTGCAGCAGATTGATTTTATAGCACCAGGTTAAACTTTCTGACACCTTTATGACAATCAAATACATTAAAATAAATACAGCATGAATATTGAGGAGGATCTCTGATTGACGGTCTCCAAAGTTAAACCAAGAATAGAGTTGTGTTGAAAACATTGGCTGCATCCGAAACCGCATACTTCCATACTATATAGTACGCTAAAATCAGTATGCGAGCCGAGTAGTATGTCCGAATTCATAGAATTCGAAAATCAGTAGGCGAGAAGTACCCGGATGACTTTCTACTTCCGGCGAGATTCTGAAGTGTGCATCCCATGCACATTGCGCTATCCCATAATGCCCCATGAGAGAATTCATGAATGGAAGTGAGGCGACGCAACTGACGCAGGTAGGTCACATGACCATGACAAAGTGGCGGATGTAGTACGTCCGAATTCCATTCATACTGCTCACATTCATACTGTAAAAAATGTACTTTTCTAACGGCCGAGTAGTACATTTAAATTCAAATGCAGTACCTACTGAGTAGTAGGCGGTTTCGGACGCAGCAATTGTGTCCACCAGTGTCTTTAGCTGAGATTAATATTAAATTAAACAAACAAATAAATCAATGACTATAAGAATGATATGGTTGTTACATTGTTACTTCAGGGGCCACGGTTTGAAAAGTTTGGTAACCCCTGCTATAGGCAACTGAATCTGAAGTTCTAAAACAATCCCAAAAAATGAGCACACTTCCGTGTAAATAAGGTGAATAAGTTGATTAAGGTTTTGCTAAAGTAAAGATCAAATTCATTATAATCATTAGGCTATTACAGCCATGTGTAATCTACTGGTTGTTTAAGAGTTAGGGAGCTGTAGACAAATTCTTATCTAAAACATTGTAACATTCTTTGAAATCTCCAGTGAGCCCATGCTTGGGATCCCTTTGCTCACAGAGGCTGCCTGTGTGTAAACAGATCCTTCTCCAGAGAATTAAAGCAATTAAAAGACAAACTTTGCCTAACTTTATTCAGTTTTGGTCTTCACATTAAAATATATGCCTTGTGAACAGGAAGAAAATAATTTGCCATTACAGTGCAAAATTAAACCACCCTCTATTTAATATTCCATTTCAGATGGAAACCTGTGTAACTGTAAAGCTGCTATTACTTAAGATACTTTCTACATTTTTTAAAACCCACTATATGTAAATAGAGATTACATTTTAAAATAAATAATTGAAGTGTGCTTTTTATATTTGTAGCTAGCCATTTTTTTGTGTTGTGTGTTGTTTAAACTGCTTGAATTTTGACTACGCAGAGACGCCCATGCTGGAGGATGCAGATGAAGGAGGAGTGAGGCTGTGGCATCTGGTGAAGGCCAGCGAGGAGCCAGAGTTACCCAAACACAGACGAGGCAGTTTAAAAGAACGAGAACGAGCCAAGACCATTCCAGAGATTTATCTCACGCGGCTCCTGTCAATGAAGGTGTCCTGACAAATACACAATCACAAAGCTTGTAGATACAGACATACGAAGAAACCAAACTCATATCAGTCATGTTCATTTTTGTTTCCTATTTCTAATTCTAAGTAGCTAATTTGCTAAAACAAATGAATACATATATAGCAGGGTATAAATTGAACATTTGCCAAACATAAGTATTTAATAAAACAGCTCGAGAAATGATGTAGGAGTCTCACATCGTTGTCACCTCTTTCACCCCTGATGAGTTTGCATCCCTGCAAGTAATTGTAATTAAACAAGTGTGTAACCTGAAATTTTGGGGAGTCACTTTAAATGTGAAGCAATATAGATTTCTACAACTATTGTTGTAAAAAAAAATATATATATATATATTTTGAGGTGATTTTGAGTCTTAATTTGGCCATAAGCTTTTCTGTGTTTTGGTAGCTGAATGATTTTTGGTGGCAAATCTTATTTGGACACATATTTTGAGAAAATTCTTAAAACAAACCTCAACAATACACTTTGGTCAAATTTACTACCCTTTTGTTATGTTTGGGATGAAAACATCTACTTAATTAAACTGCCATAAAAATGCATCACATAATATTTTCTTAAAATCTTTTGCATAAATCTGTTACTCAGCCTCAGTCCTGATCAAAACTACTAAATGTTTTTAAAAAGTACAGGATTTTAATTTTTTAATTGCCAAATTCACAAATGGTTTCACTCATTTAGTGGAAAAGAAACACACAAAATGATGTATTTTTAATATAAAAATGAATTGTGGGCTGGATTTTTTAATCTTTTATCAAAGTCTTTGACATGTGAAACAATATTGCTTTTGATGCAGTGTTTTTGATTGATTAAATTTTTTTTCTCCCTAATTTACTTTTGGTGGCAGTTTTAGTCCCATTCACTTCCATAATAACCACATTTTTTAACCACAATTACTTTTCATATTGAAAATATGTCATTTTGTGTGTGTTTTTTTTTTACACCAAATCAGTGACGGTATTTGAGAACTTGGCAATTAAAGAGTTAAAAGACTATACTTTAAAAAAAGTAGTTTTGATTAGGATTAAGGCTGATTAACAGATTTCTGCAAAAAGAAATTAAAGAAAATATATATATCTGATGCGTTTTTACAGCAGTTTAATTCAGTGGATATTTTCATCCTGAACATAACAAAAGGCTAGTAAATTTGAACAGTCCACAAGGCTTAATCTGTAATTTCATTATTATTAATAATAATGATACATTAAAGAATAATTTCCATAATTTGCTCTGGCTGTTGGAAATAATAAAATAATTCACATTTCTGTTGTTGGTAGAAATTATTTAAGACCAATACATTTTAGTCACCGGCAATTAAATAAATCTTGCTTTTTGGCCCTACAATTCTATGTTAACCTGCTTTGTTTTTTTTTTTTTTTTTTTAGGGTACACTGCAGAAATTTGTGGATGATCTGTTCACAGTTATTCTAAGCACTAGTCGACCGGTTCCTCTGGCAATCAAATATTTTTTTGACTTGCTGGATGATCAGGCAGTCCGCCATGGCATTTCAGACTCTGAGACTATTCACATCTGGAAAACCAACAGGTACTCACATATTAGTCAACGTTAATGTTTTAAGATTCAATCTTGGTACAACATTTTATTATCATTTACAAAATGTCATATCAGCAACGTTCCAGTACCATGATCACCTATTTATACAAACTATTCAATAACAATCTGTTAAGTCTTTGATGCGTACCATCATACCATAGCAGTGTGATCAGTCTTGGCTGGTCTCTGGAGTGTACGATCACACTAGCGTTCAGTGCATTACATTACATGACATCATTACATGAACTGTTAAAATCAAATTTGCTTTAATGGGATGGATCAGATTTTAAAATCTCAATTTATCAGCGTTTTTAAACAAATAACATTTATCCAACATTAAACAAAAAGTGCTTCAGGAGTAGTTAATGTGTCGGTGCTCTTTGGGTAAGGGATTGATAAAGATAATGCCAGGTGCTGTTTTATAGAATAGCCTTGTTAATAAAGTTTTTTTTTTTCACTTACTTATTGAGTGCCTTGGACTTTGTTGTTTAACATTTATTTATTTTTTGTTTCAGACATTTAAATACACATAAGTACTAGCAATAAACAAAAAACACATCTATTGAGATGGCAATAATTATTTTTTATAAACATAAGTGAACGATGTGCAATTTTCACATCAGATACACAGAGTTAAGTCTTCTCTCAGTTAAACAACTACTTATATTCATGTATTTGGTAGAAGTTGATGAAATAACATGTTGTAAATCTAGCAGCTCCGATCTCTCCACTGCAAGGCTGGCTAACAATATAATATGATCACTGTTTAGCTTGTTAAGATGAATTTCATGTTCTTACGTTTGAGAATCAAAATGTCAGACATTTCAGAATATAATTAGGACATTAATCAATATTTGTAAAAAGGCAAAAAAACAAACAAATAAAAAAAAAAGTTAGCCAACTAAGGATGCGAGTTTCAATGTTACAAACTGAGTTCATTGGTTTGGCATTTCTCAAATTCGTTGTTCCAACGAACATTCGCAAACTTCGCCGCAAACTTGTACACTTGCAACTACACCTCTGGAATTCCTGGCTATGTTCTATTTCCAGATATCCCCCCTATGCCCTATTCATTTAAAACATTCTAACATTTAAACTTAGAATGATTAAAAAGCATTAAAGTCTGTTGTAGCGATCTTCATGTTTACAATTGCGCTCCCTTCGCAGTGCACTTTGAAAACATTGATGTCATTTTGAACACAGCCGTAACTCATGACAAAAGCTATAAGTGACCTATTATTTAAAGGCGGTATTTGTTAAGTATCCTAAGCTTCTGAAAATAAAAAACATAGCATACGTTAATGCTTTCATTTATAGTAGGTTTTTTTATAAAGTATCTGTTCTGTATATGACATGGGCCTGTTGGTTAGAACATTTATGCAGGGGTTTGCATGTGTCAAATTGTAAAAGTTGACTTTTCAAAAAATAAAAAATAAATAAACAATATCCTACTTATTATTAATAATGATGATAATTATCATCATCATCATGATTTTTATTATTAATATTTTTATTAATTAAAATTTGTACAATTTTTATTTCCTAACAAATAATAAATATTAAATTTAATTTCTTAATAAATCGCCTCACTATTTATTTATTTATATGATTCATATATGACATTCAATACATATTAGCTGTTTAAGAATAGAATGTGTAATGTTCTTAATAATATTTGTAAAGGAAACATTGGCCCTATACATGCCATTTATATATATATATTTCAATTAATATGATAAATGAGTGCATGTTTTTAACAAAACTAATACTGGATTGTTTTTTAAATGTGTTTCTGTGTAAAATAATATAATTTGCACAAATAAATTATTGGGTTCTTCTCTAAAGAAGTTGTTACCACCCCATTTAGAGCATCATTAGGGGAATTTTACGTTATAACTAACGTGGTTTAAGCGATGGATCTGCAACAGAGAAACTACAGTTTTGGGGAAACACTTGTCACTACATTATTATTTTCCCAAACGATACATTGTACTATGATAGTTCAGCTGCGAGTTGCGTCGTTGTTTGGGGAACGCGCCCCAGTCCAGTAGTTTTTTTTATTGCAAATATTTTAGTTTTTCTTCTTTCTGCTTGACTTTTTTTGCTGGTTTTTTGTTTGCTAATTACATTTTATTTTTGACATTACATCAATTTTCGCTTTGCAATTTTTTTGATATTTTAATTCATTTATTTTTTTTTTTTTGCTCAATTTTTTATTTTTGTTTGCAAAATTTCTTTTATTTTGCAAGTATATAAGGCCCATATTGACTCCATACAATTGGAATTAGATAATCAAGCATCAGCTTATGAGCAAGTTTTAAACTCATTCAGCTTTCCCCATAAACTGATTCAGCTCTGTTTTTTGCTTCCAGTTTGCCTCTGCGATTCTGGATCAACATTGTGAAGAACCCTCAGTTTATCTTCGATGTGCAGGTGTCTGATAATGTGGATGCAGTTCTGTCAGTAATTGCTCAGACATTCATGGACTCTTGCACTACCACAGAGCACAAGCTGGGCCGGGTAAGAGACAAACATAAGGAGCAACTGTAGAATACTGAAAAGACTGAAGATTAAAATATATAAATGTTTCTCACTCTCCATTTAGGATTCACCTATTAATAAGCTGCTGTATGCCAGAGATATCCCTCGCTACAAACAGATGGTTGAACGGTAAAATGACCTTGGACTGCCTAACTATTATAAAGACTATATAGGGAAGTCACCTTGATCTGAATCTCTGTATTTTTCTGACCCAGATATTATGCAGACATCAAGCAGACTATCTCAGCCAGCGATCAGGAGATGAACTCTGCTCTGGCTGAGCTCTCCAGGGTATGGCCATCTTCAGTGCATTTACTTTAAGCCATTACATTTACAAGTGAATTTGTGATGGACTGTTCATGAGGTTTACACTCTTCACGTTTGCTTTGTTTGTCAGAATTATTCTGGAGAATTAAATTACTTGGTGGCCCTGCATGAGCTCTATAAGTACATCAACAAATACTATGACCAGGTGAGTTGTGAGAGGATTAGACAGACCCAAAAGACTATTTCTGTTAAGAAATAAAAGGCTAATGATAAAAAATTAAATTCTAAAAATATAATTCTAAGTTCTAAAATTATAATCATCACTTCATCAGAATGTAATAGGGATGTAACGGTATTGTAAATACCGTCATACCGCAATATTAATTTTTTTTCGATATTACCGTAGTCGCATGACTCAGTAAAACTATAGGTCTTCTGAGAAAATTTGCTCAGGCGAATAAAGCGAACGGGAGGTAGCGAAAACTACAATTCCCATCAGCCCATGCTTGACCATCATCCCTTGCGGTCTGCTGTCGCTACAGATCCAGTGATGCGGAAATGGAGTGTGCTGCTAGAAGCGGGGATGAAAAAGAGCTGGAAAACTCTAAAGCGGGTGTTGTCGCCGCGTGCGTACTGAATAGCGGTGTTGTCGCGCGAGTTCTTATCAGCTGTGTTGTCGCGCGCGTACTGAATAGCGGTGTTGTCGCGCGAGTTCTTATCAGCTGTGTTGTCGCGCGCGTACTGAATAGCAGTGTTGTCGCGCGAGTTCTTATCAGCTGTGTTGTCGCGCGCGTACTGAATAGCAGTGTTGTCGCGCGCGTCCAGTTGATGAACAGTAAGAACATTAACAGCCTTATAGTCCATTCTTCATTAAAGAGTTTGAGCATTTAAAGCAACAGGCCACAAAACTGCAGAGAATGAAACTAAATTTATAATAACCAGATAATTGTTGTCTTTTTGTGCGGATTCTTATATAGTTATCGTTTTAGTTGTTGGTATAATTTACTCATTTCAATGACCAAGTTTACTTAAATTGTACTTTTACAGCATTTATTAATCTGCTAACACTTCACAAAAAGATCCCGTTAGTTGGTTTGTGCATTAACTAGTATTGACAATAAGCAATATATTTTAAGCTGTATTCATTTTTGTTAATGGTACTTCAGATTTTGATTTGATAATGTGCTAGTAATAGTTTACACATTAACATTTAGAATTTAAAAAGTATATCGTGATAAAATAAATGTTGACGTACAGATGTTAAATAATGTACTAATACATTAAATGTAATAATGTATTGTACTATTGTACTAATACAAAAAAAAAAATATATATATATATATATATATATATATATATATATATATATATATATATATATATATATATATATATATATATATATATATATATATATATATATATATGTGTGTGTATATATATAACTTACATACCTGTTAAGTTTCATTCCAGTAATCTGGTTTGCTCTATGATGCAATGAAGTATTGCGTGTGCGTGTGCGTGTGTGTGTGTGTGTTCGTGTGTATTGAAGAGCCGCTGAGCTAACAGCTGACAGGCCAGAGAAACAAACACACTGTATTTCTAATGACAGACACGTGAACTAGGAGAACGTTTTTCTCTCACGCTTGAACCACATCTGACAGATTATAACGGCTTTAACACTCTCTTCAAAGTTGTGTCACAAAAACACTCCGTAATCCACTCAAAACGCTACTGAAACCCATTTTCGCAGTGCAAATGACCAGTTGTAAACGCTGTTAACAGAAGTTCTTAACATTCTACCCGAAGACACTGGTCGCTCTGGCTCCCTCCATGCAGCTGCCAAGAAATAGGTCTATAACATTACGGCCTCCTTTCATTTTCAGTGAAAAATATGAAACATATTCTACCAATAACAATCAGCTATACAATAAGTTTATACAATCTAGGAAATAAAGGCAAGCAATCACTCAATGTGCCTACAGAGCACCCGCTGATTGCCTGGAGCTCAGACGTGCGCATATGCTGCAGTGCATGCATGCCAGAGTGGGTGTGTGGTCACAAGATGTGCATTTTCAGCAGTATAGTGTGGATGGAGAACTTTTCAGGAAAGCTAAGTGAAATGCCAGCGTAGATGTGGATCGTTTTCATTCTAAACGCCGTTTAAAAATTAAAATGTATTCGTGTAAACAGGGCCTTATTTTACATCTTGTTATAGGGGGCATAATAGGTCCCCTTTAGAGAATGGTATTACATATTGCTATCTTATAGTGCTTCCAAAAAGACATTCTGCTATAACTGAATTCATCTTTACCATATGCATATGTGTTTGTCCGTATGTTAGATTATCACAGCCTTGGAGGAAGACACCACTGCTCAGAAGATGCAGCTTGGCTACCGGCTTCAGCAGATCGCCGCAGCTGTAGAAAATAAAGTGACAGACTTGTGATCAAGGACAAAGTCAAAGTGAAACCAATAAGAGCAAAGAAACTCATGGGGGTGACTATGAACACACGGTAAAAGTACTTTAGGTACAGCGTCAGTTGCAAATATGGGGAAGATTTTCACATTTTGATATCTACTAACGGAAATGACTGAAACGGTGTAGAACGGTGCAGTCTTTGAATGTAGGAATGGGATGATTTTGTTCAGAAATACTGTATATAATAACAGTATTCCCATTAGAGTTGGTCAGATGTCCTTTTTCATTTGTTTTTTATAAACCTGGATGCCTTGAGTTCATGAATCTACTCCCAGTGGAGGTGTTTTTCTGCAGAAGAAAACAAATAAGCTTTTTGCTTGGACTTGACCTTATTACAGAACACGATGAGATGTTCTGTCTACCTCTTCTTTCTTCATCTATGTGTGTGGTCTTTGCTTCGCTAACATTCTTCTGCTCAGCACATTTGCTCCTGTTCACTGGTTGAAACATTTGAATGTGATTTTAAGATTTTGCTAAACTGTCAAAGAAACGACCCCATGAATAACACGTTTTAAATGTATTAGAATATTTTTTCACTTTTTCATAATTAATGTGTCACTGGGGAAGTATTTAGCCAAGCATACACTGTTCTCTGTTACATAAGGCTCGTACACACCGGGACGTTTTTTATTTGCATTTATCGTTTGCGTTTTACAAGACATTTTTCTGGATTCAAACCCAACCAATTTTTCACTGGCATTGAGCAGAAGAATATGCTGAATCACTCCTTGACGTTAGAGCTCTACATAACTTTAAGCTTCTGACACCCGCTTGTAACACAGAAGAAGACAGAAAGTTGACACGCTTGTTGTTAAAGTTTTACTAGCGATTCAAGCAAGACTCTGGGCATCTTCTTCAATGTGCGCTCACATTGAAAGTTTTGCGCTTGATCGCCTCCAAGTGCTGTTTACTGTAAATTCAGCAGCTCCGTGCACGTGAACAAAAGTGCCAATCTGATTGGTGGAGAAGGTTTTGCATGGCGCATCAAAACAAAAACAAAAACATGAGGGCCCGTGCACACCGGGAAGCTTTTTGCTCACGTTTTTCGTCAACGTTTAACGCCTCATGACTAAATAAAGGGTGGCAATGTGATCGTGCACACCAATGCGCAAAACGCCAGGCGTAAAAGCGTAAGTTTTAAAGAAATGCCTCTTGCTCATATTTTTGGTTTTGACACACCCCGTCAAAACCTTCTCCATCAAAGAGGGGCACTTTTGTTCACGAGCACGGAACTGCTGGAGTTACAGTAAACAGCACTTGGAGGCGCTCAAGCGCAAAACTGTCAATAAAGCGCATTGAAAAAGATGCCCAAAGGCAATTTGAATGTGGAACTGCTTATTGCCATACCTGCCAACATTTGTCCCTGAAAATCCAGAAGACCAGGGAAGGTTCGGGGGTGAGGTGTCTGAATAACACTGTTGAGAACTGGGGACTGTGTACTGTGGTGTTAGTAACTGTACTATGAAGCATGTTTCGGGCCATACCAATGTTGGCGACCCAGGAGTTTTACAGACCGTACCAAAATGCTAAGGACCAGGGGCAGGGCTTGGTTTGTGCCGGAACACGCCGGAACCGGCACCTCATTTTGATGATCCCTCTCCTCAACCGCCCTCCTCCCCAGTCCGTTGTTCACTTTTGCTTTCTTCCGCGACTCCCCAACCTCTTTACTGTTGTCCGCGACACCCCTCCGCCATCCTCCGCACCAACCAGCCCCCCCTCCCTCCCCACTTTCGTGTGCGACCGACACCTCTCCATCCTCGAGTAACATGCGGGATCCGTTACCCCTATCTGTTCCGGGACCTCGCAATTCACAAATTAAGCACAGACCAGGGGGGAGGGGTGGTTGATATTACAGGAGTTTTCCGGGACAAATAACAAAACGGGAGGGTGGCAGGAAATGGTGGTCTGAAATACGAGAGTCTCCCAGAAAAAAGGGAGGGGTTGGCAGGTAGGTTTTTGCACTGGTGAACAAAAATTATTTTTGTTCATCACTGGAGCTGCTACTTGAACCATCCATGCTTGTTTGAACCGCCAGTAACTTTAACAACAAGCATGTCAACTTTCTGTCTTCTTCTGTGTTACAAGGAGGTGTCAGAAGCTTAAAGTTGTGTAGAGCCATCTAACGTCAAGGAGTGATTTTACATACTCTTCTGCTCGATGACAGTGAAAATCGATTAGGTTTGAATCCGGAAAAACTCGAAAAATGCTGATGATAAACGCAACCGAAAAGCATCCCGGTGTGTATGAGCCTTGAGGCGTTTCTTTAAAAATGACGCTTTAATGCCTGGCATTTTGCGCGCTGGTGTGCACCATCATATTGCCGCCCTTTATTTAGCCACGAGGCTTTAAACGACGATGGAAAGCGTAAGCAAAAAGCGTCCAATGTGAACGGGCCTATAGAGTGCCATTATTCACCAAGTCAGGTCAAATCATGTTCAGACACTTTTATATGTTTTTTTTTTATTATCTTGTGGTGTATTATTAAGCTTTTTAGTCTTGTTTTTTTTGTGCCAATATTGGGCTGAATGGATTAATCATCTCATCCTCTAACATTTCATCAACAAGGCTGTTTGAAGACAGATAACTGTATGTAGGTACATTTAAAAGATAGAATTGTAAAGTTTTAGCTTTCATGTGAGAAAATAATGATCTGTATTGTATGTAAAGTCCTGCTTAATTATATTAGTGCTGGTCCACTGTATAGGTAAATACATCTCTCAGTCGCAGTTAACTTCTTTTGATTGAAGAGCATTCTCAAACACTGAACAATGAAAACTTAAGAGAAATAGATTTTCAGTTGACGAGGAAGGTTGTGACTGTGGTGTTTATCTTTTATTTGTAGTATAGTACAGTTTTGTAAATAACTGAATTCCTGTGTAGCGGTTTGGCAAGTTCAAAAAGTAAATTATTTTAAAACTTGTAAACAATTCTTTAAAAGAGACGTTTAACAAAAAAGCTGACAATTTTAACAATAAGAAGATTTATAGATTTCCATTTCTGAATGTATGTGTATTGTGAAAACTTACATTTAAGGTCCGGTGTCTTTTTCATAACATCACATGAACTAAAGTGGCATTGTGTTGGGCATTCAAAGTCAACATTATGCATCAGTTTAATAAATAGGATAAATAAAGTTTACATCTGGAAAGCTCTGTCAGTCTCTGTTGTTGTTGGTGGTTAAAACACTTTGGATTGTTTACTGTGATTGGGTGTACATTATATTGTGACTGGGTGTGCAGGAACTGGAAATAATATATTTTTAGACAACAAGAAGTTGAATAATGTAATAAACCTTTTTGTCTTTCTTCTGAGGAATAATAATAATAATATTATATTTTTTAGTCCAAACACTCATATAATGTAGCAGTGTTGTGAGCCCTAATATTTTTGGCTTTTACCAATTAATCTTATTATTATCCTTGTTATTATTTACATTATGCAAGAAAGAACATTTACAAAGATACAATATGAACAAAGAGACAAAAAGGGTTAAACAAGTTTAAATGATTTACACCAAGAAAGCGTTTTACATGCAATATCATTGTTAGTCTTTTAAGGAGTTCACAAATAAATCGAAGTCCTTCATGAAAGAAACGGTGTTTCTTTAAAAATATACATTTGTGGATTTAAAAATTAGCTAGAAAAGATAATAAATTAATAATAAATTTACAATGAGAAGGATTCATTCAGAGTTCAGAAAGTAACCAAAGAATACATTTTTGTGGGAAATACAAACGTTTGGAAATAAGAATTCTTTTTATGAAACTGAAAAAGTCAACCCAAAACACTTTACAGTAGGCTCAATACATTAACATGATCTTTTTACTTTTTTATTGCTGAAACCAGGAACATAAATACATACATAACGGTAAATGAAACCAAAATTACAGTATTAATCAACAAATAGCATTGACAAAAAGTACAGTACAGTATGAAACAATAGAAAAAATATAACATTTGAGATAAAGAGAAGAGAGAAAAGGAAAAAAAAAACAATTATTTATTTATTTATTTTTTTTGCAAATGCAAGGTTTAATTTAAGGTTACTCATACAAAGATCCTAAAAGCAGAGCATATTTTGACAGTTTTTTTAAGCTTTCTTATTAGACAATCCTGAAATCAGCTTTATATAGCTCTCCACATCTTTAATGAAGACCACAAAGGCAGGTTTACTATTTGTGAATTTGCATTTGTGAATGTAAAATTTACTCAAGAAAATAATCAAATTGATTAAAAACACATTATTTTCTTTTGTGGGGTCCGAGTTAAAAAAACCCAAACTAATAATTTTCATTTGTGTAGAAAATTCAGGTAGATACTTCACCTTAATAAAGAAATCTATATTATTCCAAAACTCTTGATTGTAATGACATGACCATAAGTACCTCCGTTTCATCGGCATTCACACAAAAGGAACAGCACTACTCAGTGTCAACTCTAAACTTTCGTATAAATACATTAATCTGATCTTTTTTTTAACAGTAAGTTATTACAAAATGCAACATTATGAACTAGGAACATACAGGATGCCAGAGGGATAAAACAGTAAGAAGAAAAATACAGTAAGTTAAACAAGAAATACATATAAAGTAAAGCTTAAAATAAAAATACAATATTAAGAGTGTAATTATTTTCAAACGAAGTACCGCTGTTACAGGGGCATTTTAAATAGGGCATGACCAGATAATGTTTCCGACCAGATAATGATTCCTAGCCTTAGTGTTTCCTGAACCAGAAAGTATTTCAAAGTACAGTTTCAATTATTTTATGAATACCTTAAAACCGGTTTATTATTGGAGAATTTGTATTTATGGATGTGACATTTAGCAAGTAAAAGTAAAATATTTATAAAGTAGACATTAATCTGATCTAACAGAGAAAAAATCCTCTTAATGACGGCATGGTGACGTACCTTTGACCTTACGCGTTTCCACCATGTTTGTAGTTTTTGTATTATTTGTTTACGCCATCCACTTGGTAGGGAATAATAAAAAAGGGAATCTTAATCAAACGCGAGGACAATTTAAGATACATTGTGTGGATGACTACAATGTAAGTGAAGCCTATACAATTTTTTAGAATGTTTCAAAGGACAAAAACAACTATTCGGTGTCCATTTCTTTGTAGCGTTTCCTACGTTAACCCGGAAATGAAGCCAACCAACGTGACCTATGAACTCTGTGTATACGGTAATGTGTAAATCACGTTTGCGTGCAAAGCCATTGTTGCAGCAAAGTGCTTAAAAATAAGCAGCATTTAATGGGAATAAACTGTTTAATATAACCGCGTATCACAAATGACTCTATGCCAACCTGAGGGTAAGAAGACGAAACAATCGCTCGATAAGAAGCTCACAGTCTCACTGGCTGATAATCGCTCGTTCACTAGTGCAGTAAAGCAGGTAAGAGACGTGCTCTTTACCACTCTAAACTACAGAACACGAGTGTCTTGAACTGCTTTTATGTTGGATTCTTAAAAATTCACAAAATTAGCGGCAATGCTAGCGTTAGCATAACAAAATCTGGCGTAAACTTGGACAGCGTGCAATGGAAACCTTAACATATTTACGTTAACGCGTCTTCTGTTGCATTTATACGAATCTGGAGGCGTGGGCAGTGAAACACACTGTCTTCATTCTTTTCAAACCAAACGCCCCAGTTTCATTCAATCTATAGCATATCTCCACATGAACTAGCGTCAGTGATCTGCCTGTAATCCGAACACTGACGTTACATCCAGGAATAATGCTAACTTCAACTAGAATTTGACAAGAAATCTATTTGAAAACCGTAACATATGGTAGTAAGGAGTGTAAAATGTATATGTTTGCATTTTAGAAATGGAGTCCCAGCAGGAAGTGAACCCTGTATTCCTGCAGCAGCTCAGAGAGTTGGACATTCCCGAGGAAGCAGCCAAGCAGGTAGACTTCACACCTTTACAAATTACACCTAACTCATTAATTTGACGAGGAATGTATTGACTAAAGTGCTTGCTTTAATTTGTCAATGTCAAAATATGCACCCGTTTTAAGTGTCAGAGCATTATGTGTCCTGGACATTTTGTATTTGCAGAACCGTGCACTAATAAAAGTTGTTGAATGATATTATTGAGGTTAAATTTGGTTTTATATTCACACATTTGGACTTTCATTTTAGTGCTATATTTTCTGAAAAGTATTCATTGCAAATTCTAAATAGGGAAATCATATTAGCAGCCAAAGATGATCAAAGTATAACATGGTTCACAGTCAATTAAATAGTGCTGATGTTGTTTTGAAGTAATGCAATTTCTGACTGAATATCTAAAGTAGCGTGGTAAACAATATAGGGACGTTGTCATAGGTTGTCACTGAACAAATGTGTGAATATAAAACCAACTCTACCTTAGTTAAAATGTTTGGTGCCTTGTAATGACATGTCTTTGCAATTGTTTTTTGACGTTTTCTTACAGGCACTCTTACACACACAGAATGTGTCTGCCGAAGAGGCCGCAATGTATTACTTTAACAAACTAGAGAATGAGGTAAATCCATTGTTTAAACCAGTTGAACACTGATTTGTCCACAGCGCTCCACAAATAACTGTTTGAATAATTGTCAAATAGTTGCCTTATTCATTGGGATCAATAACAATCATTTAATCATTCTGTTAGAAAATACTTTGTCATTTGAAGAAACAGATTCTTTTTAATTCTCCACATTCAAAACTTGCTCACGATTTTAAGATTTGATGTTTGTGCTGTTTCTAGAACTCATTTGCTGAATAAAAGTGATTTAAAAATGTATTAATACCTGATGCGTCTATATCCTCAAACACTTTTTTTATTTGAGGATATTTAATTATAAATTTAGTTCATGTTAATTTATTTGACTCAATGGTAACAGGCTAAAATTAAACATTGAGTACAGTTACATGGACACTAATAATCTGATTTTAATACGATTAGGACAATACTCTTGATTAAGAGTCTTAAACAGTGATTTTTGGTTAATCTGATTAAGGTCATATTTGAACTAAACAGAAATTGAATTAAGACGTGGAGTATGCCAATTTTAGTTGCATTATTGAAGTGCAGTACATACATGTAAACACCTTAAACTATTATCGTTGTGTAGGATTTTCACAATTTCAGATTTTTGGACCTCAGACAGACAGACAGACAGTCCCCCCCACATATCATGCGGTATCATATTAAATTAAAACAACACTCTTCCAGCAGTTCATACTCGCATCCAATATCTCATTTGTCTAGGGGGGCATACTTAAATTGTTCCTGAATGAAAGTGAAAGTGCCAAACTGCAGTTAAAGTCGACATATTAAAAATGTAACACCTGAAATATCATAAACCTTCGGAGGAAATGTGGATAGCGTGGTGACGTAGTGATGCTAGTTAAATTACGTGCTTTAACATGTAAAACAAGATCATGAAAGGAACATTCAAAAAGCAACTCATGTAAACACCTTAATCATATCATTGCCTTATATAGATTAAGACTAAAAATTCAATTATTGATGTTCATTTAAACGTTGTCACAGTAAACGTTGATTTAATTTTGTTTGTTTTTATCACAGGAAGAGGGTGATGAGGACTTGATGTTCAAAATGGTGTTTGTTGTAAATATGGAGCTGTCCATGGGTGTTGGGAAGGTAAATAATATTTATGACACTTTTAAATAAACAACACACTTCAGAGATTAGACTTTTTTTTGCACTGTCTTGTTTCTGTGTATCAATCAGGCAGTATTCCCTTTGCTGAATTATTTAAAAACAACAAAAAAAGCTCTCTATGCTTCACGCTTTGTGCCAAACCTATTTTTTTTTTCTATTTTTACAACATGCATGATGAAATGGCTTAATAAATAAAAAGCTAATCTAACTGTTTTTTTTAAGAGTAATTATGATACCGTTTTTTAACTCAAACATATGTTAACTCTGGAATGTTTTTTTTTTTGGCCCTTTAATTATTTCCTCCATCAATAAATCTGAAACATTCAGAAACAGAGGAACAGGATGATCAGGCGCATCGTGTGTTGTGTGCACAGCTGATGTCATGTGCGCGAGTTTTTAAATGCTTACACGCTCTCATTTAATTGTGCGAAGGAACCATCCCTGGAAACGCAACTGATGCGATCTGTTCTCTTTGAAATAGAATGGAGAAAAAGCGATGCTCGCGCACCCACTGTGCTGTTGCTTGTAGGGGTGTCAAAATTAATCGTTTCTTCAATGCACCACGATGCAGACACGGACAATTCGGTATCGGTTCAGTAATAATCATAACCGGTTATTACTGACGTCATTTACCTCATATGCGCTTTGTCGCGAGGGAGACGATCGCGAGTATTTACAACGCTCTAACTACTTAATACTCATGAACTGTGCACAATTTCACTGTGTGTGTTTGAGAATGAAAGTAGCCTACCCCATCTCTCTCTTTCTCTCTCTCTCTCTCTCTCTCTCGCTCGCTTTCGCTCTGCCTCTGTCTCTCTCTCTCTCTCTCTCTCTTTCTCACACACACACACAGTGGCCCATTTGACCTGCTGGCGTGACTTTTCTTTTCCTCTCGGCTGTTTTACAGCGTTACTTTTGGATTACAGAAACGAGCGCATGTCTGCAGAGTTTTCTCCACCGTGTCTATCATAGATCAGCTGTGAGATTGCCGCTGCCGCCTGCCGCTTATCATTGGCTCTTGCGCGCTGCGCTCTTCAGATGAATCGCAACCATTTTTGTTGAGGGTGTAACCAATCAAAGAGGTGTAATAGAACTAGACAAGGATCAGAAATTGAGCTGGATATTTATATTTGTTTATATTATTTGCTAAATGCTTGTTTTTTTAAAAGTTACAGTTTATATATCTGACTGTTTGTATTAAATGACACAATTGTATTACAAAAAATAGCCTATATAAATATAAATATATTCATACATTTTAATACAAGATCTGCTGCTGTGAAGAAAATATAAAAGCATCGTCAATGCACCGTGATGCACCGAAATATCGAATTGAACCGAATCGATGGCATGATAATCGTAACCGAACCGATCTGTGAGACTAGTGTAGGTTCACAGCTCTAGTTGCTTGCTTTCAACACTTAAATATTCTTTAAAAAAAATGTCTTTGTGTAAGCAGCAGCAGTTGCCACTTTTGCTTTAACCCTTCTTTGAACAGATTATTATTGAGCGTAACGTTAACAGCGTGCACTTAATCATCCTTTCATTACCGCACACATAATGTTTTTCACCTGCTGTCTTTTACAGTCATTTATTTACAATATTTTTGGTTTATTATTATCATCATTTACAATAGCATTGCTTTACTAAAAGATTAGCCTCCCATTCTTGTATAGTTAACTGGTGATCTGGGACCTTTAGCCAGGACAGATTACTATGCATGTAGAATTAGATAAATGACAATCATTATTTTTTAAATGTCAATTGTTTTTTTTTTTTTTTTTTTTTTTTAAGAAAAGATTTGTTGAATAAAAAGTATGACACAACTGTATTTAGCTTGTTTTAAAAATTTTAATCTTTTTAAAGCTTATAACAAATAAATAATAATTTATTTATTTGTTTATTTTTAATGTGGCCAGAGAAAAAAAAACAGATAAATCCTTAATGTTGAGCTCTGAAGGTCACGTGAAACTAGAACTAATTGCAATGCAACACCTTGAAACCACAACCCATGTGGACATAACACAAAATCTAAATTTAGTCATTTTAGCATGCCAACAAGTCAATTTTATGCATATAAATGTGTGTGTGTGTGTGTGTGTGTGTGTGTGTGTGTGCGCGCACGTGTGTAACTTGTCTCATAATAATGGTAAACTTTCTCATAATAATGACTTGACATTTTGAATTGGAAATATATACTTGTTGCGACTGCACAAGCAAAAATGAATATATTATTGCTGAAAATATTCAAGTGCTGTTTAAAAACTATATAAGTAACATAATTAAGGTGATTGCTCTGATCATTTTGTATTCTATTTTGCACAGACAGTATTGCTTAAATATAGTTTGATGCATTAATTAGGTTTAGTTGGAAGGGGATTATATATTTATATGTGCTGGTGCATGTTTATTATTATTTTTGTCTATATATAATAGCTAGGTGAACTGCGTATTTGTATTGCAGTTGCATTTACATGACTTTTACCAGCAGATGTCAGCAGTGTGTGCATTTTTCAGCATTTGGAAATCAACTCTTCCAAAGCAATCGATTAGAACTTTTCAAAAGCCTGCCCTGGCTACTCCTTTACTAGTCTGTCGCAGTGTTAATACATAGGCCATAATAAAGAAATGAAGTCATTATTTTGAGAAAATATTACGTTGTCACGGCTTGCATAATCATTGCTTGTGCAACTGTGATTAAAAGGGGCTTCAATATTTGTCCTACACAAGCACAGTATCATTTGTTAGAGAATGTTTGTTCAGTGGGTTGAGTAGATGTGAAATGATGGGTGTTTGGCTGTAGGTGGCGGCGCAGGTGGGTCACGCTGCAGTGGGTTTGTATCAGGCCTTGCAGGAGAAGAACAGCTGGAGGGAAATGGCCTGGAAATGGGACCATGCTGGGTAAGAGACACTGCTGTTCGCTCCTTCTTCTGCATTAGTCCCACTCTTTTGTTTTGCATACTGAATACATGCACTTCTGCTCAAAAGCAGTGTTTTTGTCCCTATTTAAATTTGACTTGTAGCTTTAAGAAAACCAAACTAACTAAGTAGAAATAAGTAACCAAACCAATATAACAGGTTTGGATGTCCCGCTCCAAACTAAAGTCCAAAATTAAATTACAAAAGAGAATATAATGATACAGCCGTCGGAGACTGTTTTGATTGAAGGATCGATCGTGAGATCTGATTCCGCTTTTAAAGCCTGACATCATCAGCTCAGAAAACTAAAAAGGTAAAACAGCATGATTTCAATATCAGAAATTAAAATAATTCTGGGCAGGAAGGTAACAAGCAGCTAAATCTATCATTAAAAAAGGTGTAAATAATTTGTGTATACTTTTCGAAACAGTCTGGTTTTCCTGGATTTCGTGAATTATTTGTTTGAGTTTGTTTGCAGCCTAAAATGACCACAATCACAGCCTTGTGTTGATTAGCAGTGGGAATATACACAGACATCAGTACTGTAAAATTAGTTGTTTTTTTTTTTAAACATTGCGCTTTGTCATTTTTTATGTTGGGAACACAGAAATCAACAAAGACCAAGAAGTGTTCACCTATTTACTACACAAAACCTTCTGTCTCATATTTGATACATTAAGCACTCTAAAGGGTCAGAATAAAAGTGTCTAAAAATCCCTTGCAAAGTCATTAGCATTAAAGTCATGCTAAAATATTTTCATGTTTTGTCCACCACAATTCAGATCAATGTAAAATCCCAGATCCTTCATTGTGAAACTTAAGCAATGACCAGACAAATACTAGTATTTTTATTATATATTAACATTAAATCTTACCTAGTTTATGCATTCATTCTTTTGCAGATTTTAGTTGTATATTTATTAATAAAATGTTTTTGCCATGAAAATAGCCACTGTTGCTGACATGGCAATATATACTAATATTTAAGAAATCAAGAAATCCTGGAGGGACTGAAAAGTCTCCTATTCTCACCACCATGGCTAATTTATTTGATCAAACTGAAGTCTACATAATGTTGTAGGATTTATTGCAGTTTTTAGCTAACTTAAATATTTTAAATGCTTTGTTCTTAAATGTATATTTTACATTCATTCCTATGATGAAATAGTCTGAATTGTTAACTGTACTGCAGAGCCAAATGCATAGAAGTTGACCTTGTTCAGCTAATAGAGCTAATGGATGGAGCTTGACCTAGTTATGTAATAGTGTGTTTTTTGGACCTTCAGGCTGAGAAAGAGAGAGCATCTTACATTTTCAGCATCATTAGTCCAATCTTTAGTGTCACTACTCTTTAGAAACGGTCCTAACATTTGTTCCATGGTATTTTTGTAGTACTACTAATCAAAGATTTTAAATTTATATTACTTTTTAATTTTATTTAAAAACAAAAAAAACTATCTGTTCAGTAAAGGCACCATTACAAGCATTTATAATAATTTGATCACAAACAGTTTCCATAAAAATATATAAAACTCTGTTTTCAGCATTCATAACAAAAATGATAAATTGTTAATTAATCACCACGTCAAATGAGTATAATGCAATGATTTCTGAATTATTACAGCTTTGCCATAACAGAAAAAAAGTTATTTAAATGGACAAATCAAAACAAATCATTGCATGATAAAACTGCATTCATTTTACAACCTATTTTCTTAAAAACAATGTGATCTTCTGTTCAGCAAAGACATCTTTTACTCGTTAAAAGGGGTGTACAGTTGAAGTCAGAATTATTAGCACCCCTGTTTATTCCCCCCCCCCCCCCCCCCCCGATTTCTGTTTAACAGACAGAAGATTTTTTCAGCACATTTCTAAACATAATAGTTTTAATAACTCATTTCTAATAACTGATTTGTTTTATCTTTGTCATGATGACAGTAAATAATATTTTACTAGATATTTGTTCAAGACACTTCTATACAGCCTAAAGTGATATTTAAAGGCTTTATTAGATAACTAGGCAGGTTAGGGTAATTAGGCAAGTTATTGTATAACGATGGTTTGTTCTGTAGACTATCGAAAAAAATATAGCTTAAAGGTGCTATTAATTTTGTCCCTAAAATGTTTTTTTAAAAAACTAAAAACTGCTTTAATTCTAGCTAAAATAAAACAAGACTTTCTCCAGAAGAAAAAAATATTAGACATACTGTGAAAATATCCTTGCTCTCTTAAACATCAATTGGCAAATATTTAGAAAAAAGGAAAAAAGGGAGGTTAATAATTCTGATTTCAACTGTATATTTTTAACTGATTTAATTTATTTTTGATAATTATTTCATCACAAACAATTTTCATAAAAACATATTTACACAAAACACATCTTTTGCATTAATAATAAGAGCTTTTATTATTAATAATCATGAATGTAGGATAAAAATTGTATAACGGAATGATTTGTGAGGTAATCTCCTCTGAAAATTCAGCTTTGCATCAGAAAAAAAAGTTCATACAACATAATTCTCATACACACTTGTAGACAACACCTTAAAACAATATAATACTTTCTCATAGGCATTTGTGCACAGCACCTTATAACTTGTACATTTATAACGAATCCGTACATACAATTCAACATCCAAAGCTTTTTGTCTAATTGCATCTCTGTTTAATGTTTGTCGTCTTTTCTCATATTTATTTTTGTGTTGTCACTTTATATACACTGGAAGATTCTGTAGCCAAAACAAATTTCTTGTGTGTGTAAAGCACACTTGGCAAAAAAAAACATTCTGATTATTAAACACTCATCAGGAATAAATAAATTCAAATTATACATGCATTGTAAAACCTATTTTCTTAAAATTAAATACTTAATATTACTTTTCAGCTGTCTTTTTAAAACAAAACACTTTCTGTTCAACAAAGGCACCTTTTCATCAAAAAATGCAAGACATTTATATAATTTTATCACAAACAGTCTCCGTTAAAAATTGCATAAAACATACTAACCAGGAATGACTACATAAAGCAGACTTTCAGTATTGTGATTAGGAAAAAAAACAAATCAATCATTGCATAATACAATTGTTCCTGCATTTTAAAATCTGCTTTTTTCCCCTCAGGGCTAAGAAGATTGTGTTGCAGGGCACTAACATGGCACATCTTTTGGAGTTGCAGGCTCTTGCCATGAGCCTCAGTCTTCCTACAAAGCTGGTACAGGATGCTGGACTCACACAGGTTCATTCCATGACATTGTTGCTATTGATTTATTGTGAAGCGTGAGGACACTTTGTTTTTATTGAATTTATGTTTACGCAATACCTCAAATAATACATTAAAAACAGGGTTTGAAGGTACTGGAAATCTTTGAAAATGCTTAAATCTAATGTGTCTTTCGTTACAATTTATGTACTTGAACTAAAGAAGTAATACTAATTAAAGGAGATCTATTATGAAAAAAATCTCTTATTATGGGTTCAAACACAGTTGTGTGGCAACCGTCTGTGAATTTAACTGGCTTCTAATATAACACATTTATTAATTTTATTTTGCATAATCACACTTCATAGAAATAGCCTGCAGAAACACTTTGATTGACATTCTGTTTTTGTACATGTAATCATTAGGGGAAAGCTCCTCCTATTAGTTAAGATCTCTCCCTCATAAGCATAGTACGTTAGTCTTGTTTTTGAATCTGCCACTATGCTGATAAAAAGGCATTTGTAGCCCATCCTATTTTTAAAAGAGCACAATCTCGTTTGAATGTAAAGCCACGGCCAGCAAAACAGCACAATAAGAATCCAAACCTAAAAGTGGCAATTTCAAAGAGTTATGAAACATTATTTGTGAAGTATTTTGAGCTGAAACTCTAGGAAGATCAGAGATTTATTTTAGATCTTGTGAAAAGGGACATAATATGTCCCCTTTAACAATTAAAATAAAGATGTTTTGCTTTTGCATAAAATGAAAACAAAGTTCTCAGAGATTACTGCTTCATGAATCAACAATGCATCAAATTAAATTAAAATATGCACATGTGGACAAAGTGGCTTGTACCCTTCAGTTATTTGTTTCAGGCTGGCTTCATTAGTTTGCCTTTTGTTGTAGCACAATTTATTTTAAACGCAAATTATTTTCCGTTATTTTGTTTAATCATGACTTTTTTCAGTTTTACAATGTTTCAGTGAGCGCTGCCATTTTCTTTCTTTAATGGAAAGGTACAAAGAATTGGACATTTAAAAAGAATGACGACATACATTTGTTTAACATGCAAATAAATGACATTTAAGAGAGGAACAAAAATGCAATTTAATGTTGGGCTTGGGGAAAACATTTGTTTTTTATTATTCTATATCTTTAGCATCTGAAATAATGTGATGAAGTACAGTCAATTATTAGCTCCTCTGTTGATATTTTTCCCAATTTCTGTTTAATGGAGAGATTTTTTCAACACATTACTAAACGTGATAGTTTTAATAATTCTTTTTTAATAGCTATCTTTGCTATGATGACAGTAAATATTATTTGACTAGATAATTTTCAAGACACTTCTATACAGCTTAAAGTGACATTTAAAGGCTTAACTAGGTTAATTAGGTTAGTTAGGCAAGTTAAGGTAATTAGGAAAGTGATTGTATAGCAATGGTTTGTTCAGTAGACAACCGAAAAAATATAGCTTAAAGGGACTAATATTTATTTTATTTTTTGTAATTAAAATTTAAATTTATTCTAGCTGAATTAAAGCAAAAAGAGAACTTCTACAGAAGAAAAAATATTATTGCACATACTGTGAAAATTTCCTTGCTCTTTAAAACATAATTTGGGAAATATTTAAAAAAGAAAAGAATTCTAAGGGGGGCCTAATAATTCTGATTTAAACTGTATATATATCTGTCATTTGTGATCTGGAACATGCGTATAAAGTGCTTAAATTTGACTTTGGGGATGGAATAGGAACCTCTTATAAATATTTGTTTATGGGTTGCATTTTGCTCATTTGTAAATATTTTTGACAAACAAAAATCTATATAAGGGGAGGAAAATGCTAGATATGTGATGCGGTTTTGTGTTAAGACATTAATAAATCCTGACACTGATTTGAGATCATGTTCGTGTGTGCAGGTGGAGCCAGGCTCATGCACTGTGCTGGCCATCATAGGTGAAGAGGAGATGGTGAATAATGTCACAGGAAGTCTGAAACTGCTTTGAGGGAACTGCTGCAACGCTGACGGGGAAAAAAACTCAGATGTACCACAGAAAGAGCAGGGGTCCGAGATTGCCCACAGCAGCATGGTTCGCCGCAAAAGGTGCACTCAGTAATTTTTCTTTCCATTTTGATGACTCATACTGACACCTTGTGACATGGATGCATTTTTATGCAAAGGCAAGTGTTTTCTGTTACTAATACCAAGGAGTGGGCAATATACTGCATACATTAGTATACTGCTAGCAATTTGTCACCCCTTATTACTATTGAAGTTTCCTTTCTATTGTGATTATGCCAATGTTTCCTGCAGTGCTCACTCTCCAGCATCACAACATAAGAAACCATGTTTTACCCCACTCGTGAATGTGAGTTTGCAAGTTTTATTTAACGTGACGTGAAACGGCTGTGTATTGCAAAATAATGGCATGGAAAAGATCTTTTTATTGGTTTTTCTTTAACCATCTGCTTTACAAACTCAACATAACCTGTGATTATATTAGAGTTGACTAACAGATGACTCGAATACGCCTGTCCATTTGATAAATATTCATCCAAATCAATCAAGAGTGACCGTTTTGTTTGGGAGAAACTCGTGTAAGTTGTTTCCAATCCCTGCACGATCAAACAGAGTGAAATACTTTAGGAATAAAAATCATTTGGATTAAACTAAACCATGTCTTATAATTGTGGATGTGGACTCCAAAAAGATTTCAGTATTGTCATGAAATGTTATCAAAACATGTAAAATGGAGAAAAGACTTCTGAACAAAAACACCGTACTTATACAACACTTACCCATGACTGAAAATGTTACTTTATAGCTTAACATAAAAAAACGAGAAGTCATAACCTGTATTGATCAAATTGTGATCAAGCATTACCTTATATTTTCATTTAAAAAAAAATGTATATTGTGATGTATATTGATGTGGACATTGTTCTGTTATATTCTTGCTTTGATTGCCCACCCCTTTCAATTTTAAATGTAGAAACGCACAGTAATCCGTTATTATTTATTTCTCAAGTAAAACACAGGGTGGAATGTGCATTACTCGCATAAACCTGAGTAGTATTCAAGTGCTATTGTGATTTAAACTTACGTTTTCAATATCCAGATGAATTTTTTTTTCGGAACTGGAAGGAATTACTGAGTGAACCTTGAAACGCCTGCTTAGTTTAACAAACAGACGTGTTGAAAACCTTGCATTTTTAATTCTCCTAATTAGTTTAAAGAAAGAAGAAAAAAAAAAAACGACTGAAATGATCAAAAGATCCCTGAATTTAGAGGTTTAAAAACCGTTCTCTTAGAGGGAGCTGACAGTGAAATAGCGGTGTATAAAATGTATAATGAATTATAATCACATGTAAGTGTTATGCTTAATGTGCCTGTAGAACCCAAATGTTTTGATGATTGTGAAATCAAATAGCCATTGTCAAAGTAAAATGTATAACTTTTGTTCTTTTTTTATTGTGTGAATATATTATTTTGTATTGTTTACAATTAAACGTACCCAATCCCTTTGTGATGATAAAATCTGCCCGTGTGTTGCTTTTATCTCAAACACTTGGCTCGCCAATTGCTGTATGTATTTGAATTTAACATAATGTATCTTAATCAAATAGCTTTCCTGTATTTTTGCACACCGTAAATCACTGACTGATACACCAATGACTAATAACAGCATGAATATGAGCAGTGGCTACTGTGCAAATTCTTATTACAAAAGACTAACTGAATTGTCATCTGCCTCACACTGTATGCTCACCCATTTCTGTGTTCTTTTCTAAACTTAGGGTTTCTGCGGGGTCTTAAGTCTTAAAATGCCTTAAATCTCAACATAAAAATTTGAGACCTTTAAAAAGTCTTAAATTTACTGAAAGATTGTGTTGTAGGTCTTAAATCTTTTTTTAAACAGATGTTCTTTTTCTTTTATGTATTGTTACCTGATCTGGCCAAAACCCATACAATTACCACCAATCCATCTCAATAACTCTTTATTTAAAAGGTAATTTTATCATAATTATTTATTATAATGGTTTAATTATTTTCCTTACAATAATATTTGTTTAACAGTGCTCCATGTATTTACTGCTGTGGACATCAACCTGGACAGATTGTTATGCGTAGATTTAGTTTATTATAAATTTTCAAACTTTTAAAACATTTAAAAAAATATATATACATATATTTTTTAAAGAAAGTTTATGTTAGAAAAAATATATAGATACTAGTAGAGCTTACTTGTTCTTACACAATATTTAAAATATTTTGCTTAGAAATATCAAAATATTTTTTATTATTAATATATAATTGCATTATTAGTTATATTCAATTATAATATTTTTTTATTGGGCAAATAAAACTCGTTTCCATCTGGGCCATTAGAAAAATTCCTTAGTGTTTATCTCTTTATGAGTCTAAAATGTAATTCATAATGGTCTTAAAAATGTCTTCAATTGAACTTGGTGAAACCTGCAGAAACCCTGTAAACTCTGCAATTTTGACTATTGCTTGTCTAACATGGACCAAAGATTTCTAACAAACCAAGAACAGATGCGACCATAAACTGGACAGAACGCTCAAACATGCATCTTTTTTCTTCTCTTTGTGATTACAATTAGTTTAATCATAATTCAATACATGAATCAGAAACAGTTTACAGCAGATCTACATGCATACAAAGGCTTTGACACATATTGCAATTTGATTTGTGATTTAATTTTGTAGTCAAGCCTTAGCTCAATAATCTGTATCATAGTGTTAATTAAAGAAGGAACTTTAAGATATTAACTTACTCCAACATTTATTCAAATTTGTATTTAATATTCAGAAATGAAAACTAAACACAAATGAAATGATCTTTCTTTAAACAAGTTGATTTCAAATTAGAGGGGTAATGTAGCTTAAGAAAACAAAAAAATAATAATTATAAAAATACAAAACACTTAGCAAACTAACATTGCTGGAACAACTCTGAAATTGTATTTGCTGTTGCCTGCTACTAGATTGTCACTGGCAATACTTTCAGTTGACTTTTTATCAAGACACTTCATATAGCTGCCTATGGTGCTTTTTTAGATGCTTGTGGTTGTATTTCCTCATGCTGTTGCAACAATTCTTACAAATGACCTGTTTTTGTTCGGTGTCTCTGACTTTAAAACCAAAAATATTCCCATATTCCCAATTTCCTGTTTTTCTTTGATATTAATTTGTCTATTAATATTTCTGAAGCAGCTAATTCCGTCATTCCACTCGTCCGTCTGTTTGTTTGTTTTTTTATTGTGGGTGTCCGGCATAGTTTGGTTGCGCAATTCTGATTGGGCAGAACAAATGTGTGCTCACTCAATTGGCTAGTAAGACTCGCACAGCCCTGATCCATACAGAAATTGCTGGAACTGTTTTGTATCTATTAAACTTTTTATAAGCAATCCAAGAATCTTTGATCCGGAGTGGAACACATCTTCAGTCCCAGCACACCAGAATTTATGAGCACGACTACTTTGTAATTTTTTTTATTCAATCAAAATTTTTTCCTGTGGGAAAACCCCTATTTTGTGCATTTAATTAGTTAAATTACATTGCTCATTTCCTTTCATTTTCTTTTTTATACTGTGTCTTATTTAGTCCATTTATTTGTGACTTCTGTACAAATAAAAAGTTTATGAAATTAAGTTAGTCTTCCACAACTGCTGATCAATCATGAGGTTTCTTGTTTAAAATTGAATAACTGAAGAGTCGACTGCTTCAATTGATACACTAACATCTCATTCAAGTATAAAATCGGTTTTAATAAAGGGTTAGTTCACCCACGAATGAAAATTCTGTTATTAATTACTCTTACTGATTTTGTTCCAATCCAAATACACTCGTTCATCTTTGGAACACAACTTAAGATATTTCAGATGATGTCCTTGAGCTCCTGATACTCTATAGACCACAAAGGTCCCAAGATTTTCAAAGTTCAGAAAAGGAGCCAAATACATGGTCAAAACATTTCATGTGACTTAAGTTGTCCAACTGTAGTCATACAAAGCTCTAAGAATATGTGTTGCATTTCTGACACTAATGGCTACATGTTGTACTGCTTGGAAAAGCGTGTACCCTGATGACTTAATGAGGAAGAGAAAACATTGGCGAACAATGTTGTTTTTATAGTATTTTACAACACAAAAGTGTTATAGGAGCTTTGTACAATGAAATGTTTTGGCCATTTTCGATTCCTTTTCTGAACTTCTCAGGACGGTTGCTGTCTACAGAGGATGAGAGAACTCCTGGATTTCTTCTAAAATATCTTAACCCAATAGGTCAGACGGGAATGGAATAGCATGATGTTGGGTTAAGAACTAAATCTTTACTTTTGGGAGAATTAATCCTTTAAAATCCAAATCTGCAATGTATTCTTCATCTCATTTTAAGTGGACTGTAAAACATTCACCATGTTTTCATGTCAGCGGTATAAGATCTTTGTCATTTTAAAAATACGGTCCTGTTCCATGATGAAAAGTGTCATCTTTTGAACATTGAGAGACGTAGTAGGTTATCCTGGTAGTGCATTCTTCTGTTTGTGAACACTGTGAATTTGGACATGCTATTCATGTCACACATATTGCTACGGAAGTAGGCCTCATTCAGATACAGGGAGTAACTTTCTGTTGCACTGTTGTAAGAAGTTTTAGGTCACCCATTGGCCATTTCCTATACTCCTGAACACCCCCCCTCCCCCACAGTGACATGTAATTTTAATCATGATACACAAATGTCCGTTGCATAGACGACCAACATTAATGGGGTTTTCTGGCAACCCTTAATGTGATCATTTAAAACACTGAGTCTGTTTTTTTAAATGGTTCCATTTACTGGCAACAAAGTACACTGCAGTACTACTACAATTTCCTGTTGGTCTGCTATGATAAATGAGAGTTGTCCGGGTTGACAGGTTTTTTTTTTTTACTCTCCTGACTGCAGCTGCTTATTCTCATCTACTTTCAAAGTAAGGCATTTGGCATCACAGTTGAGCCCTACTCGTAAACGACGACATCACTTCACCTCAAGAGTCCTTTTTATCTACCTTATGGTACATGACTGTAACACAACACCATCAGATGACTATAACAACTGGTTCTGTTATAACAAGACACTCATAAAAGGGGAAATTCTTGATTTGTTGTCACAGTCTTTTTAACTATGTGAATTTGTAATTACAGTTGAAGTCAGAATTTTTAGCCCCTCTTTGAATTTTATTTTCTTTTTTAAATATTTGCCAAATGATATTTAACAAAGCAAGGAAAGTTTCATAGTATGATTGATAATATTTTTTCTTCTGGAGAAAGTCATGTATTTAATTTCATTTTAAACATTTTTATTTAAAAAAAAAAACATTTATTAGCCCCTTGAAGCTATTTTTGATTGTCTCCAGGACAAACCATCATTTTACAATAACTTGCCGAATTACCCTAACCTACCTAATTAATCTAGTTAAGCCTTTAAATGTCACTTTAAGCTGTATAGAAGTGTCTTGAAAAAAACATCTAGTCAAATATTATTTACTGTAATCATAGCAAAGGTAAAATAAATAAGTTATTAGAATTGAGTTACTAAAATGAGTGTTTAGAAATGTATTGGAAAAAATCTCTCCGTTAAACAGAAACTGAGAAAAAAAAATAAACAGGAAGGCTAATAATTCTGACTTCAACTGTATGAGTTTGTGCTTGTTTTCACAACTTTTATTTTTTAACCATTTCTTTTTATTTGAAGTCTTGACAAAGAATATAGATTCAAATAATTCATTTAGGAAAAGTTACAATCAACTAATGTAATAGAAATAACTACTGGCCACAGACATAATAGTTTTAATACCTGTTTGAATTCAGAATTGACACTATTTGATCAAAAATGGGGAAACATTCTTAAAATTTTGATTTTGTGACCCTTTACTTTGTAAATCGACAAGCTTTGTTCATTAAATTACTTTCCAATTTCGATTAACAATCAAATTTATATTATTATATATAATACATATAAAGGTGTTATACTTATTTAAACACGTATAAAGTACTTTGATACACTGAATTCTTTCAACTTTTTGTCACACACAAAAAAATCCCTCAATATTATTAAAATGTCAAACCTGTAATTATTTTAAATCTTACTATAGCAAAAATAATCCTTCATACTTGTTTTAAAAATATGAAGCATGATGAACGTCCACAATGCACGCCCTCATCACAGCAGCAGTTGCGCGCGCAATCCCGCCGGAGGCGCATGATGTTAAATGACATTCATCCATCGTAGTATTAAATATATGATATCTAGTTAAAAAAATAATTTTAATCTAAAGCCGGACGTGCTTTACTATTGTGTGTCGTTTATTTCGAACTGATCTCCAGATACTATTGAAAACGGTAATGACGACGTTTACGTTAGTCATTTATTGTCTTTGAAACACAAAGGCCCTGGATTAAGCAGACACATTTCGTTGACGCTTGCGTCGTTGTCCTTGCTATTTTACATGCATTTTCTCAAAGCAATGCGTA